TTAACATGAAGAATCAGACTAGTTATCTCTGATAACTGTTTATGTTTTATTACCAGGAGTAACAACTACATCACAAAGGACAATAATTCCAGTTGTATAGATTGTTTATGAAATATATTCATTAAAGACGTTCCTCCACCAACACCAATAACCAGTTTCTGTACACAAACATATTCATCATAGGGACGAGGAACGATAAGACTCTTCTCGAAAGAACATTAAGAAATAAATTAGCAAGTGTTATTAGTATAAAATGTAGTTTGTTTTATTTAACGAAAATTTCATAAAGAAATGAGTTAAAAGTTATCTCTTGTATATTCAGTATCACAAACTTCATCAATGTCTACAGGTGTTATTATCTCACATAATAAACTCTGTCAGGTGTAGTGTTTACATACACATCAGACACCTCGGGTTCTTTATATTTTTATTTTAAATATTAATAAAAAGAGACATCATTCATACTAACAAGTAAACATCACCTCGATAATTTTTGGGACTTGGTTTTATGTCTAACGTGAGATATTTGTGAAGTAGATTAAAGATTTCTTTTCGTGAGTTAATGGCTGGTAAGTTATCAACACGAAGGGGCAAATAATAAGAGACACCACCATAATTTAACTCTGTCAGTAATACACACAGTAAACACTGCTCTGGTATAGGAGTTCCTTCTTATAAACAAACATTAAAAGTTACTTGTGTTACAGTTTATATATTTATTATATATCTTTCATAATGTAACAAATGTCTTCATATAAAGTCATGAGTCAACATGTTGTTTTACGTCACAGATGATAAGATAAAGAGGAAATACTGCCAAAAATATTTATTGTTCATATTAAAGACGACACATAAAAAATGTTCACTTGATAACAGTTTTTAATGACTGGAAAAGTTAGAAGATAGGGAATTCGAATTGTGTGTTGAAGTGAAGACTCGTTTACTTGCCGTATCCTGCGGAGGAGATAAATTATGTTAGTAAATAGAGTTAATATATTGCATTTGTACCAGTACAAGAATATGTGTTGATTATATTCCAGGTTGTTACTGTTGATCGCTGGTTAAAGTAATAAGGACTAATTATACTCACCGCCATAACCTCCTCGACCACCTCCAAATCCGCCACCGAAGCCTCCATTACCACCTGTAGACAATATTAAAGTTAACAAAAGCAAAAAAAGTTTATTACTAGATATTATATAATTAGACAATTATATGATATATTCTCAAGCAATGACGAAGAATGAACGCACCTCCAAATCCACCTCCATGTCCACCGCCGCCACCACCATATCTTCTTCCAAATCCACCACCGCCAAATCCACCACCACCGCCAAATCCTCCGCCACCGCCAAATCCTCCGCCACCGCCAAATCCTCCGCCACCGCCAAATCCTCCACCACCGTAGCCACCGCCAATTCTGCCGGCGCTAACCAAGGAGGCTACAGCGAGGCACAGAAGAACGATGGCGAAAATCCTGCGGAGCTGTAAAGAAAAATAATTCCCTTATAGTCACTGTTTGTCCCAATTTGATTTGTAGTTCACAAGAGACTTTGATGTTGTTCACAAGCCAAGATAATTCATGACTGCAGTTAACAGAATATATATAAGAAAATTCTCTCTTGGTCACCATGTTTGTTGTTGTGATGCTGTGAGACAAGTGACGACCGTACCGAGCAGCTGGCTTATTTATACTCACCTGCCGCAGGAAGCCACTCAGGGAAACAATAGCAAGAAAGAGGTCACGGCCTTGGGTCATGTTGAGTCATCACAGTAAACCTTAACATATGAAGTAGGGGGTAGGGGAGGGGTGAGGAGGAAGGTAGTGACTTGAGAAAATATTGGTGACAGGGTGAGACAGTCGGAGATGCTCGGAGCAGATACTCCCAAATTAATGACGAGCTGCTGTAGACCTATAGCCTAAGGTAAGCTTCTCTATTAAACAACCTGTCAGGTATATTTACACCTACAAGTTCAATGTAACTTGAGTGTGTTGTGTGATTAATGTAGAAAAGATGATAACAATACAAAAAATTAATCAATATCGTTGTTTCTTTACTTAATCTCTCAAGATTTAAAGGTTTAGGATTTCTTTAGTCTATACTACAAAGAACATTAATAAGTTAGAAGCAGAAAGCGAGAATCACAAGTTGAGGTAAAATATGATAACACAATAGTACCTTGTGTACCTGTACCCGGACTGATGCTTGTGCTGTTGTTTCTGAGTAAATGTTTTGAAAGAAATTTAATGGATAGCCACGTTTATTTGGCCGACTTTCCAGTTCTCAAGTTAGGTTTCAGGTCTGGAAATATTTAACAGGTGGCGTCTGCTGGAGCAATGCCGAGAAACACTTTATTACACAGTCGCCGTAAAGAAGCGATAATACGTCCTCTCTAACTCCCCAAAAGTAATGAATCCTTGTCTGATGCTCTCAAGAGTTTACAGAGTTTGTGTCCTGAAACATGAAGAGGAAAATAGTCCTTTCATTCACTGAAATAATTTACACCATAAAAATAAATGAAAGAGAAATTAGAAACCAAAACCTGAACTGGATTTACCACCGTGAGAGTCAACACAAAATTTAAAGAAACTGGAAAGATTTATTTGGAAGACTCTTATTACTACACCTTTAAAATCAACATCAATTAAAAAAAGGATTAAATAAAATGTAAAAGTAAATTATGGAAGACAGGTGAAAATACAATAAAGTGATCAGGTATTTCAAAATCTGATCTTGAATAAATATGTAATCATTGCCACAGCTGGCCGTGAGTCGCCTCCTTACCATCCTGACTCTCTTGTTCTCTGAGTTTCTTATACTAAATCTTCCCCCTTTAATTTACCACTAGAGAAACACATAGGTCCTATCTCAGAATTTCAGTCCACCTCTGGCTTCTAATTTTTATAACTCAGGTACGTTCTTAAACTCGTAACTCAGATACAGAGGAAGATATTGACGAATGCACCAACGAACGTTTTAGAATCCGACTCCTGAGCATCGGGTCAGCCAGGAGGAGGAGGAGGAGGCTGTTTAAACACGCCTCAGCACGAACCTCTGCCCTTCGTGGTGTCAGGGGACTCGACTTCATAGTGTGTCAACACTTCCATCCCCAAGGTGTTAAAGTCCTTGACCCTCGTAGTGCCAAGGAATCCAACCACCAGTGTCAAAAACTTCCAATCTCTACAGTGTGAAGGACCTCGTCTCAACCCCCGAGGTGAACTCTGTGTGTGTGTGTGTGTGTGTGTGTGTGTGTGTGTGTGACTCGTATTCTCTTGTCACGATAAAAAGTGAAATGTACTGGACTTACGGGAATAAAAATATCACCTTGAGTAAAGATAGAGAGAGAGAGAGAGAGTTGATCTATAGCGAACTTAAACGTGTAAATTTCTTAAACCAAGAGAAAAAAAATAAGAATGAAATAAAGAAAAAGAAATAATAATAAGAAGAAGACAATAGACCACCTACCTACCTAGTTCTCTTTCCGTCTCTCTTTCCACCTTATTTTTTTTTTCCAACTCTATTTTTCTACGACTTCACTCCTCAGTACCGGGTCTTCCCTTGCCAAATCTTCTTGTCATGTTGCTCCTGAGAAACTGATTGACTGACCACTCACAGGTATTGACGAATCAGGCCAAGTAGTCCTGGTTGGCATTGAACACTAGGTCGAAGTTGAAGAAATTGTAAACCATATTGAAACTTCTTTCTTCTTCATCTTTTCTTACTTTTCTCCAACCGCGAAGAAGTTTAGGAGGTACTGGAATGACCCTGTCTGTCTGTCTGTTTGTCTGTCTGTCTGTTTGTCTGTCTGTCTGTTTGTCTGTCTGTCTGTTTGTCTGTCTGTCTGTCTGTTTCCACACTACAACCAATAATATAATGACGGAGATCTCAGTAATATCTGCATCACTTTTAACTAAACTTCTTGCATGATTTAGGTTAGGTTAGGCTAGATTAGGAATACAGTAAGTAGTTATTTACAGAGGTTAAAGTCAAAGGTTAAAGGTCGTTAATCATGTTGACAAATACTACAAATCAAATCTGCTCTTGGAATTAACTGGTAAGAACTACTGAGGTGTCGCTTAAGACATTGACAGTATCATTTAAAACCTTTAGAGTGCCACTTTAGACCCTTGGTGTGTCACATAAGACCTTTGGATGTCACATTGGAAACTTAGAATGTCACTTAAGACCCCTGGAGTTCATATAAGACCCTTGGGTGCCATATAAGACCATTGAAACTTAAGACCCTTGGAGCGTCATATAAGGCTCTTGGTGTGTCACATAAGGCTCTTGGTGTGTCACATAAGGCTCTTGGTGTGTCACATAAGGCTCTTGGTGTGTCACATAAGGCTCTTGGTGTGTCACATAAGGCTCTTGGTGTGTCACATAAGGCTCTTGGTGTGTCACATAAGTTCTTGGTGTGTCACATAAGGCTCTTGGTGTGTCACATAAGGCTCTTGGTGTGTCACATAAGGCTCTTGGTGTGTCACATAAGGCTCTTGGTGTGTCATATAAGACCCTGGGAGTGCCACACCATTTTGTTTTTATTATATATTAATTTCCTTTTCAACAGGCATCATCCCACCCGGACACAGGTCACTGACCCACATCGGGGTCTGGGCGCGAAAAGTAATGCACAATAAATACAAACAGATCAATAGTGTTGTGTTGTCATGTTAAAGTAAGAGAAACAATTGAGACCGGCAGAAAGTCAGATCATCAACTTGGTCACATATGGCAGCAGGGTCTACCATTAGACAACACATTGTGTTTCCAAAATCTTCCTCCCTGTTTGATACCTGACGACTGTCTACTACTGTACTGTTTATTTACTTATTATCATATTGTTACCTTTTTATTCATTTTTATTATTCAAGTATTTATTATTAAAATTTCTTTTTGTATTTTAATTGTTATTAACTGTGCATTTATTTTCAAGTCTGTATCATAAACCTCTATCAAAAAAGGAATAAAGCTTCCTTTATAACGAGAAGCAATGTGTTTAGCCAAAGTTTGTAATTTTGGAAAGATTACACGTCATTAGGAACTAGAAACAATAGCGGGGGAAAACAGCTCCAGTAATGCTAACAAGAGTAAGTTTGCGAAAAAAATAATATTTTCCTAAAAGTTTTCGTCCGTAAGTCGATCCGTCGTCATCACTTATTCCCATTGGCTGCTTCTACTTGCCCCAACCTGAAGAAAAAAAAAAGTATAAAAAACAAGTAAAACAAGTATAACATTAAGTGGTCTTACGTTTTTATCAATCAATCAATCAATCAATCAATCAATCAAGGAGCTATCAACGTATCCTACTTTGTTACTAATGTACAGTCACTCAAAAAAACGCCTTACTTGGGGTGATCGATAATCTTCAGAATGAACACTGTGACTCCTGTTGTCTTGGTAGGGTTGTCAAAATCCTTCTTCCGTTGCGTCATATTTTTTCAACACAACTTTGTAAAGATTTTTTTTTTGAGCGACTGTACATTAAATATGGATTCACTCACCTCCTCCACCCCCAAATCCGCCACCAAACCCTGGGAAGAAAAATTGGAAAAGTTTTGTAGTCTGTCTATAAACTTTAAGACTATTTACCTATACAACCGTGAAATCACCAAATGGTTTCTTCACGTAAACAGTCAGAAAGTATACTGATAGTAACTTTAAGAGTTCTTTATACACATGATGCTTAAGTGTTTGTTGAAATTAAGATAAATATATCATAATATTTCTTTTATTGAAGAATATGAATGAGCCTTTAAAGATCCTTAAGTATGATGACTTAACCCTTTGAGAACGATGACATAACCTCCTGAGTATGATGACTTAACCTCTTGAGTACGATGTCATTATACTAAAGGGAATAGGCAATCCTTTTCAAAGGGTGAGGACATCGTATACTCAAAGAATTAAATCATTGTACTCAAGGGCACGAAATTGTACTCAAGGGCGAGAAATTGTACTCTATGGGCTAATTCATCATATTCATGGGGTTTAAGTACATCCTGAACATAACTTCATTCTTAAAAAAATGAAAGAAAATCAAAATCTCAACGAATTTTGGAATACACAGCCAGGGAGCTAAGTTAAACTCTCTCGTCCACGCGCGTACCTCCACGACCAAAGCCGCCACCGAAGCCTCCACCTCCGCCGAAGCCGCCACCACGCCTCCGCCAGCCACAACAGGCTTTGGCGTCCACGTAGGCCACCAGCACGGCCATCAAGACCAGGAATAAGAAGACGCGCCACTCCTGTAGTAGAGACGAGTTGGTGAGACGTGGAGTTAGACGGTGTGAGAGTGTGTTTATGTGTATGGATGTAAAACTATGCATGTTTCTGAGGACACTTGGTACTCAGAAACACTTGGTACTCAGAGACACCTGGTACTCAGAAACACTTAGTACTCAGAAACACCTGGTACTCAGAAACACCTGGTACTCAGAAACACTTCATACTTAGAACTAAGAAACACTGGGTACTCAAAAACAGTGAATGAATGGTTACATACCTTGAAGAGACATATATACGAGGAGGTAATAATAAAGGAAACTAGTTGTATCTGCTAGCATGTTCAAAAAACCTTCTTATGAAAAGAAAATTAGAATGTTTATTTGTTATGTACAGAAGAGGCGTGCCGAGGCTAAACTGGAGACGAGAAACACCTTTGATCACATAATCTACCGCGGCACTGAAAACATTCTCAAAATCCACTTGCTTATTTTCACTAAGTTTTTATAGTTTATATTAATGAAACTTCCACTATGTCAAGGACATCCGTCTATATTTGAGGTAAGAGATTATCCATCGTAAGGCTAGCAGGATGTAAGGTAAATATAGAGAGAGGAGTAGTGAGCTTGTTTGTTTACATCTGAACTGTGACGGAAACATAAGCGGTCTTACCATGGGTGTTGCAGCCCAGGGATAACTGACCTTCTCCTGAATGTCCTGGTTTATATATGGTCCTCCGTCAGGCTGGTGACCACGCACAACCTACGAACGCCGCCTCAGTCACTTGTGTAAACCTGGTCAGGGGCGAAGGGACTCGCAAACACAAATACTTGGAACTGCTTCTGTAAGTTCGTACAAACCCGGGATATCCCGCGCGGCTCCTGTCACTTGTGTTATGGCGTGGGCGGTCATTGCTTCCAGCCCGCCCTCAGGGATGGTGTTTATGTTTTATGAACTTACCAAGAATATTCTTATCGTGAAACAAGAATACTTAACACCAAACTATACATGTTCTCTGTAACACAACCGTAACTGATATTGTTCACTTAGTCTGAGAGAGAGAGAGAGAGAGAGAGAGAGAGAGAGACGTGATCGGGCAGTATTTGTTCGAGTTCTTATAGTTTACAAAGAACGAAGATGAAGAATACGCTGGGGTGAGTAGTGAGTGGCGTATATCGTGAGCGTCGTCAGGGCCGTGTGGGAAGATGTGTTGCCGTGTGCTGCTAAGATTCTAGAGAAGTAGGAGTGAATTTATCTAAGCTTAATAATAATAAGGACAGATTTTCGGTAGCCCTGATATCAAATGACGTAAAATTTTAATAGAACAATATTAATATCTTATATAGATCAGGTAATGTCTTCAGATAATGTCTTCCATTTCTGCAGTATGCTAGTCAATATTTGAGTCTCCCATGATATGTATTCCGTTTTCTCTTATTCTTTGTTGTTGCTTCTCTGTGGCGCCCAAAGCAACACTCATTCTTCTCTCCTTTGTTTATCTTCTCCTTCGTTATATTCTTGCTTGCATGATTTTATCTCTTCTTTTTAATATTTCTGTAATAGTTTGGGTGATTTTCTTCATCATTTCCTAGAGTTAATATTATTGCTACAGTTTTAATGTTTGTGTTGATGTCTTTGTGTGCAGTGAACTAGAGTGTGTTGGATATTTACTTCTTGTCACCCACACATTTCATAATTTAGCTTTGAAGTTATATGTCTTCTTTAATTTACAACGTTTTTGTATAATTATACTTTGTTTCCCTCCACTCAAACAGTTGTGTTAGTTCCCCTGACAGTTGTTCTCGCAGCCCATCATTGTTTTCTTAAGGTTCGCCCGTAACTGTAACTTGTTTTACTTCTAAAATTAACATGGGGAAAAAATACAGATTCTCTTCTTCATCTTCACATCTTGTTCCTTTGTCTTCACCGACATTCTCATTATGTTCAGTCTTGGTTCCATTATTACTCAGTCCCGCCTTGAACTGCAGTTTTCTTTGGTTTTGTAAATTAATAATTTTCTTGAATCTATTAATAAGAAACATTACCTTAAAGTAGTTCTTAGGAGCTCAAGTGAGAGCTTATAACTTTCACTTCAAAAAAGTTTGCCCTGAAAGTTTTCTGCATACGTGGCTTCTTTAACCTGAGGCTGTGACCTCTAACGGAGCGGGCATCGACTGCGTAATGTCCTCTGAGGTGTTTGCAAACATCAATTAGTCACCCCTTGCCGTCTATAGTGTAAGCTGGGTAACTGCAGGGATTCAAACTTCTCTTGATACCCGAGGTGTCGGAGTACAGGCACCAGTCTGGTGGCCCTCCTTTGGACATTTTCAATGGACTGGCAGTCTCCAGAATATCTTGGGGACCAGACAGGGTGACAGTACGTGATTTACCTTCATCTCACAATGGACCGAGTTTGTTATCAACATTCACATCCAGGTCCTTTTCACACCTGGTCTCAATTGATGTTTTTTCGTGATGTTGGGACATGTGATACGCCTCCTCATTGTTGCTACGACCTACTGTAGGTACATCCTCTTCCATTTCATGACGGTGAATCGTAACAGCCAATCCTTTGATCACTCCTGATGGTGACAGAGATGTTCCTACTACAGTTCATTTGGTTCTTAATTTCTCTGAATAAATTAGCGTCGCCAGCAAAGATTTGTATGGAAGAAGAGTTGTATCTGATATATTATTTATAAAACAAACAAACAACAACAGTCTCAATACACTGCCCTGTGGTACCACGTTTGTCGCGGGTACTCATGACGATTTCGTACTATTAATCACCACACACTGCTTGCGGTCATGAAGAAAGTCTTTGATCCATGCCAAGACGTTCCTCCGAATTCCATGCCCTTTTAGTTAATAATCAGCCTTTTATGAGGTGCGCTGCCAAGGTTCACACACACAAATCTCATGTGTAATTGGAGTTCATATCTAAATGATATTCTACAGTATGATAACGACACTTAGGGATTTTTCTGGCTAACATCTGAAAATTTAATCGAGCCCTTGGACTGACGGGGTTGATGTACTGCGGTGTATGTGTGACAGCAAGAAACGTAATTCATAAAAGGCTACAAACATTCCCTTAATGTGGTTAGGACTGTTCAGCATTAAAGTAGTGTAAGTCCCTAGAGTAAATATTGTTGAAGGTGGAACATTATGCATTATATATGGATCGAGCCGGAACAGATGACAATTAAGTGACTGTAGGAATACTGTCACCAAATTCCATCAGCCAAAAAGATAATGTTTTCCCGGGTTCTTGCTCTCATGCATAGAATATGAACTCTGGAGGGAAATATGTAAGAGGCAAAGTATACACAATGCAGCTTATTATATAAAACGAAGTTATAGTCATAAAAAGTGTTCGAAAGTTGCCGCTCATTTTTTTCTAGTTTTCAATGACCTTCCATGATTGGTAAGTGTGTCAAAAATTTCCATGATATTTCCAGAATTTTCCATGAATAAATTTATTTCCGTGAATTTTCCAGGATTTTAAATACACATATAAGCGTGTAGTCACTAAGTACTCTTAGTTCTCGTTGTCTTTGTTCATCTCCTTAATATATTCATACATCATTACTTCACTCCACTGTGACCAAAACCAAAACGAGGTGTACAATACAGTATTCCATGATCATTGTGTCAGCATCAGTGAGCCTCGACGTGGACGGCTTAGGACTAGGAGGTGGAGGTGTACTTAAACTATCCACTCAACCAATAGTTAATTTATGACATTAGTGGAAATCTCCTGTACTGAAGTTGGTTTCATGCCGTTGATACAAGACGGGATTGACTGACTGACTGACTGTGGTACTTACATCCCTGGCGACGCAACAGCTCAGGTCATATGTCGCCAAATTAAAATAAAATCTTAGAAGACAAAAAACAAATAATGTGAGGGAAAAAAAAAAGATATAGAACTCAAAGCTTATGTACAAGAGGCGATATAACTGTCTTTAAGCAACAAGTTCCATTATTTATAGCGTCTACCTAAAGGCTGGGTCACACATGGAACCTGGTCGTACTTCCCCCAGTCACCTTAGTAAACCTCCGTGAAGGGCAGAAGGACAAGTGAATGCGTACTATGACTGCAACAGATAATATTTACCATCGCGAACCCGGACCTATATGAGACGCCTCCCAACACTCAGGCGTTGCTGCACCATCATGAGGCCATTCTCATTACCTGCTTCTTGACACCTGGTTCTTTAATTGGTTTAGTTATTTATTTAATTGTTTTTTTGTGGTAATAAATCCTTTTCTGTCATCTTACAGCTCTAGGGTAATACTGTGCTAATGATCCTTGGATAAATATATGGTGGTGTGTCCTCTTGGTGGGTGACATGCTATGGTTGTGATGAGTGACACCGGGTAACCTCACCTCACGAGTGACACCGGGTACACCCCACCCCATGAGTGACACCTATAACTCCACCTCATGAGTGACACCGTGTAACTTCACCTGATGAGTGACACCGTGTAACTCTACCCCATGAGTGACACCGTGTAACTTCACCGCATGAGTGACACCGTGTAACTCCACACCATGAGTGACACCGTGTAACTCCACCTCATGATTGACATCGTGTTACTCCACTTGATGAGTGACACCGGGTACACCACACCCCATGAGTGACACCTGTAACTCCACCTCATGAGTGACACCGTAAAACTTCACCCCATGAATGACACCGCGTAACTCCACCCCGTGAGTGGCACCTGTAACTCCACCACATGAGTGATACCGCGTAACTTCACCCCGTGAGTGACACCCGTAACTCCACCTCATGAGCGACACCGGGTAAATCCACCTCATGAGTGACACCTCGTAACTCCACCTCATGAACGACACCGGGTAAATCCACCTCATGAGTGACACCTGTAACTCCACCTCATGAGTGACACCTGTAACTCCACCCCGTGAGTGACACCGCTTAGCTCCACCTCATGAGTGACACCTCGTAACTCCATCACCTCAGTAAACTATCGCCACTGGTCTCTCGCTGCGGTATGAGAACATGAACATTACCAGCACAATATCTCCTCCATTTCTTGTTTCAGGTATTCTTGATTCGCCACAAGACTGTTTGACAAACCTCTTTACTGTCAGTGTATAGAAACACATATTAGACGGTAAAGTAATCTATTGATAACGATGAGGTTTTACAAGAACCTTTGTGTTGACAGATCAGTTGATGTATCTCCGGCGTCTTCTCTTGAGTGATATTAACTTAGAAGATTGATAAACTTATATTCAAAACACTTGGGCCATTAGTATTTGATCCAGTGGTCTCTAGGTTGACGTTAAAAACCAACCATAGGTATAGTGCTGCTCTCATCAATGGTCAGGATTCTGTATAAACTGTCAACGTTACCATTTGTTTTGCATTTAAGGAAAAAAATATTTGTTTTACATTTTGTGTTTATTAAGACAAATCATAAAAATTCTCTGAGACAGATTTAATTAAGGTATTGAATTTATGATAACGAAAGGAGAAAAGAGAGAGAGAATATCGTCAAGTGAAATGGGAATCATATAAGATGACTAAGTTAAGTTGTGGGAAGGTCTTAGCGTGATCCAGAGTGTCGCTATTCACCAGAGGCTTCACGTCGTCACCAGCAGGCCGCCCGCCACTACTTGCCATAACCTGAACAAACATAATCATAAGGAGACAGCTACCAGGACCACACATATTCCTTATACCAATATATCTTGTTTTGATCTGTCTTATACTTTGACATTTTACGCCATTAAACATTATTTAGTTTGATGTAATTTTAAAAGAACAAGATTTTATACAGTCAAGTGATAATTTGTATTATATATTAAGAATTTAGTGAAGATTATTCTGTCATCTAAATACTGCTATATAATGATATATCCTCGTATACTCTACAATATACAAACCTCGTGAAGGAATTAAGTTAAGAAATATATACGTTATATCACAACTTAAGCTATAGTATTAAAGTCTTTGGTACACCTGTTATAACTTCCTTACCGAAGTGACGGATACCACCGCCGTTGAAGCCTCCACCTGGACCAAACTGACGGATACCGTGACCGTTTTGGCCGGGACGTATAGCTTCAGCACCTACGTAGGCAGCCATGAGGGCCATCACCACCAGGACTATAAGGACGCGCCACTCCTGTAGGGGGAGGAACATGGAACGTGATAATGTATACACACACACACAAGGGGTATGGATGTGATGTACAGATGATTATGGGAGAGTCCCTTAGGTAACATTATTCCGATGCTGGTTGACGATGAGAGAGAGAGAGAGAGAGAGAGAGAGAGAGAGAGAGGCGTAATTCACATAACAGTAAAACTAATAATGAAAAAAAGTAATCAGGTGAACTTATATTTTCATTAAACTCATTGCAGTGTTAGAAAGTAAACGCTCTATGACGTAATGGTGTGACCAAAACGCAGGTGCCAGGCATTATCCACTTGAGTGTCAAGACTGTCGTCGTATTCAACGTGTTAAGACATCACACTAAGAGATCAAGTCGTTGTTTTTCAAATGCTTAAGATATTTTAATTAATGAACTCAATAACTGCACTCAGAGGGGCTGTCATCGTACTCATGGGGTTTACATCCTGACCGAGTGTTCAGACAGAGACAAATATCTTAATAACGTCACATATCACCAGCTGTTTACCCTCACTCAGCTGACCATGACACACAGACTCAACGATCAACAAAGCTCGCGTCTGTTTTACCTTTATCTGTCTATCTGGAATATAGATCACCCACTTTTAATGAGCAAGACTTAATTAGTAGAGGTGTCTTACCATTGTTGTTGCAGCAGGCTGGATAACTGACTCTCGGCAGCCAGTTCGGTCCTATATAGCGTTCCTCTGCAGGCTGGCGGCGTGACCGAACTTCCTCCAGTCACCACTGTAAACTTGGTGAAGGGCAAAAGGACAAGTTACTACGTAATTCGCTAAGAACTGTTGACGTTTGCCATGAGTTCCTGGAGTTCCTCGGCCGACGTCACTCACGAGTTTCTGCCTCTCACGACCTCTTGGTTCTCTGTTCTTTACGGGATGGCGGGTGTGTTGACGTCCTCACTGAAGTTTAATTAATTGTTTTAGGGGTAAAGCAAACCCTGATAAGAAGAGAAATGAAGGAAGAAGAAAGAATAAAAAAAATAAGAACTAGAAGGAAGAAGAAAGAATAAAAATGAAGAAACGAAGGAAGAACGATAAAAAAGGTTGAAACAAAGGAAAAAGAAGGAATAAAAAATAAGAAACGAAGGAAGAAGAACGATTGAAAGGGAAGAAACAAAGGAAAAATAAAGAATAAAAAAATAAGAAACGAAGGAAGAAGCAAGATAAAAAAAAGAAAGAAAAGGAAGAAATGTAGACGATCTTCAACTTTTGCTGTACTTATTTCTTCATCGAGTAAACCAGAAGGACAGAAGGGCAAGTAACTGCGTAATACACTTGAAATGTTTGCTCATGTATTGTGAAGACTCCAAGACGGCCTCCACTCAGGCGTGTCTGGTCCCCCACGGCCTTCTGCTCTCATTGTGTGTTGATGATGTAAGTCTTCACAATTAGCTATAATATTTTGACTAATACAAACCATTAGATGAAACTCTCTAGAAAGATGTTAAAATTACAATCGTTATCATCTCCGTCATCCAACAGCCGAGATGGTGGTGGGGGGCTAGAAGACTCAGTATGGGAGGACGTGGTGCTGGGTACTGTACCTACCATCTTCATCTCTCACTGGCTGGTGTAGTGTGACCAGTCCTTCATAGAGTTATAGGTTTATCTACATGTTTCTTTAATTAACTTTACGTGTTGTTGTTCATCATTGTCTCTCACACCACATACCTTCCTCTCAAAAGTCAGACACTGATGGTTAAATATCTAATGTTTTTTACACCAAGAAATAATAACTTGATGAGTTAGAGAGGAAAAAACTCTAAAAACAACCAAGTATTATAGAAAATTATAGTTAGATTTTCTTTTCATTAATTCAGAAATTTAAAGTTTAGGAAAAAATGTTGTGTGTATGTGTTATCAAATGGTTATTGTTCAGTCGAAAATTTCAATAAGGGAAACGTTATTAGATTATAATATAGTGTTAGTTGATGTTGTGAGGCAGCGCGGGAGAGACAAGACAAGGGGCAGTCATCGGCAGCTTCGGTAATACATGAGCAAACATCAGTGCTTTCCAGGTAGTACATGTTATACTTGTCAGTTAATCCTTGATAAAGTTTACTGGAGTGACTGAGTAAAGTTGGAGGGGTCGTAGAGCTGATCAGCCTCGAGGAGGAGACTATAAATGAGAGAACCTGAGGCTGAGAGTCACTTGTTCCAGCATCTCTGACAGTAATGGTAAGTCTCCTACACCTGACTGTGTTCTCTTAGTCCACCATTATACTTAAGTTGTGCATAAGACAGTCAGTGTTACCTGGTGAGGGTCTTGATGGTCGTGGTTTACCTCATAACTTCCTCACAGAATAACAATATTCCTCAGCTCAGCTCGATGGTGTGTGTTGTGGTCAATAAATCATAATTATTTATTGGTTTATAATTATGACAATAGCAGTGGGTCCCATACATCTGACATACCTTTAGGATACAACACACTGGGGATTAAGACTCGTTACACAATATGACAGCTTGGCCGACACTGAACTCTAACGCCTTCTCTTCCCCAACCGTAAAGTTAATTACCCCTTTTACAGCTGAGTTATCTGGGGGTTCCTCATCCAGTACACGGCCGCGGGACACAAGTCTTGGGCCAGGAGGCGGGGTCCATATCCACGTCTCTCGACAAAATTTTCACAAGTTCTTATAATGTTACATAGGAGGTTTAGCTCTAGTAAATACATGAGAAGAGTCACTATAGATGCTCTTAACATTAACTTGTTCACTAAACGACAACTTGTTCAGTAGAAGTTTTATCAAGGTACTGAACGGAAGAACAGACAGACGGTCATTACACCACAGTGAATCACTTACCCCAACATGGCCGACACAGGTTGTGTGGATAAGACAGAAACACACAAAAAAGCTGATGATTCATAGTTAATTATATATGAGGGAGATGATCAGTGTCATACACCTAGTTGTGATGTTCCAACACAACAGTTGTGTCTTCACCTGTCTCTTGTGGTTAACTGTAGTGTGTATACTTTATTCCCTTATGCTTCTTCATGACCTACATGTCTCCCCCACAGCAGTGGCGCGCCCTTCTAGTGTTGGTCCTGGTGGCCGTTTGGGCCGTCGACGTCAACGCCGCACCTGCGGCTGAGGCTGAGGCTGTGGCTGAGCCGTGCTGCGGCGGTAGACGCCGAAGTGGCGGTGGAGGCTTTGGCGGCGGCGGCGGCTTCGGAGGTGGAAGTCGTGGAGGTGATGTATAACAAGAGTTTATATTACATTTGTCTTGATATTAAACCTTGTCATTAAGCTGGACGAGTTGACCACCAACAGGTCACGTCACTGAGGCGGCCAGTGATTGTAATGATCATAAACATCTATTATATATTCTACGTCCAGAGTAATACAAGTTTTTGAGTGCCTGTATGTATACACGGTGACATCACAACCTGCTGACCACGTGTGATGACCTTCCACTCTGTTTACAGGTGGAGGCTTTGGCGGCGGCGGAGGAGGAGGTGAGTTAAACTAATCTATATTGGTGTCCAGAGATTGTGTCACTATATCACTAAATATTCATCATAAGAAAACGTTTAAAGATTTAATAAAACAAAATAAATTCATCTTCGTGATAAAACAAGTTCCTGCTTCCTCTTCCTCAGGCTTTGGCAAGTAGAGGCGGTGGACCTGCCTCGACGACCTCTGCTTCACCAACACGACAACTCTCTGGACCATCCCAACAACTACCCTTAATTAATTTGATCACAATTATCTCCAGAAAAAGACAAAATTACAATTAATTCCAATGTATTTTTTCTCTAGAACAAATTGTAAACCCATAATGAGGTGAATTATATCAAGAATAAATAATTATCATTCTTTTTTTGTCTCATTTTTGTCACCTAATTATCTTTCCTGTGACAACTCGATTAACTGAAGGTAATTATTGGCTTTAATTACCCTATAGTCACCTTCATTAGAATATTGTTGTGTATTTCTGATGATGTTTTGAGAGGGTTGAGTCTTCCCGCCAAGCTTAAGGCCACGACAGGTTGACGTTTTAAGTAACATCGTTTTCCTTCAAGATCTCACAGCTGATCCTGACTAAACTCTCTGACTGCACTACTGGTGGTAAGGGTCCTCAAGTTAATCTTATCTTTAGTTGATGGATAAACACGACTCCACAGAGGGTTAAGTACCTAACAACAATAACAACGATAAAAACAACGACAACTATGACAACAACAATAACAACAAGGGTTAAGCACCTAATAACAACAGCAATAATAATAATAATAATAATAACAATAATAATAATAATAATAATAATAATAATAATAATAATAATAATAATAATAATAATAATAATACTAACAACAATAATAATAATAATAATGATAATAATAATAATAATAATAATAATAATAATAATAATAATAATAATAATAATAATAATAATAATAACAATAATACTATTATAATAATGATAATAATAATAATAATAATAATAATAATAATAATAATAATAATAATGATAATGATAATAATAACAATAATACTATTATAATAATAATAATAATAATAATAATAATAATAATAATAATAATAATAATAATAATAATAACAATAATACTATTATAATAATAATAATAATAATAATAATAATAATAATAATAATAATAATAATAACAATAATAATATAATAATAATAATAATAATAATAATAATAATAATAATAATAATAATAATAATAATAATAATAATAATAATAATAATAATAATAATAATAATAACACCAGTTTCTCTAAAATATAAAGAAGAAAAACAATAACAACATATTAACAAAAGAGGTTAATAATTAGTGTTGAGAGAACAGCTGAGGAGAGAGACCAGGAGAGTGCTAAGGAGTGGAGGAGCTGAGAGAACAGGTAGGTAGGTAGGTAGGGGTCATCTGCCAGTACCTGAACAAATATTAGCTCTCTTAGGTAACCCAGGTACTTCATAATACACCTGCTATACCTTCTTCTTGATGAGAGTTTACTGAGGTGACAGAGCGCCGGGCAGGGAGGGTCGTGTGTGGCCAGGGAGGGTCGTGTGTGGCCAGGGAGGGTCGTGTGTGGCCAGGGAGGGTCGTGGGTGGCCAGGGAGAGGACTACACTATATAAGATGGACCCTTGAGCTGTAGGAGTCAGTTCTGCCGTAACAATGGTAAGGGGACGCTGCTGCCGATGGTTTCTCTGTGTTCTAAGTTGATTATCTGTAGCGGTAGTAGTTATTGGAGCTTTGTATATGACGGAACTACATGATAACCCCTAAGTCGTGTTGTTCACTCATGTGGTTTGGGAAATAGTTTGCATTTTCTACACGGAGGTTTAATTTGTCGTTGTGAGGAAATGCAATACTTATTTATTGCAATAGTGATGTTGTGTATTATGTATTTACTGTTATAATGATGTAATATAATACGTATTTACTGTTATAATGATGTAATATAATACGTATTTACTGTTATAATGATGTAATATAATAGGTATTTACTGTTATAATGATGTAATATAATACGTATTTACTGTTATAATGATGTAATATAATACGTATTTACTGTTATAATGATGTAATATAATACGTATTTACTGTTATAATGATGTAATATAATAGGTATTTACTGTTATAATAATACAAATTACTCAATACCACACCAGCTTAAAATTTCCTATTGCCGTGTTCTTCCTCCCGGCGCGGCGCTGTAGAAGTGGACAGCTCTGTTGATGTTGGTGTTGGCGGCCGTCTTCATCACTGCCGAGGGTGAGCCGTGTTGTGGCCGCCACCGTCACCATGGTGGAGGAAGAGGTGGAGGGGGAGGTGGAGGAGGGATCTTTGGTGGAGGAGGACATCATGGAGGTGATATATTGAAATGTGTTTGGTGATCAAGTATTTAGTTTCTACAGTATAATGTAGCTGACGTCACTGTTTATTGATTCTATTTCCTGATGTTCCACTCTATTTACAGGTGGAGGAGGAGGTGGTAATGGTGGAGGAGGATGTAAGTGTACCAATATATTACTTTTATCAGTTAATTATAAGTGAAATATTCCAAGATAATATTATAAGTTTAAGGGAAAAAAGTCTTCCCTGTTAAATAAGTTTGTGTTATTTTTTTTATTCAGTTTATGGTAAGTAGTGCGAGAAGACCTGCCTGTAGGAGGACAACTGCCAGGGATGTCCTCCAGGAAGCTCCTCAGGACAACACACTGGATCACTTCAAGATTTTCCTGGAGTTTGAGAATAATATTTTCCATTATATGTAAAATTTCAATTATATTTTCAATGTACTGTATGATTGTCGGTTACTAAAAATACGAGTCGAAAATGTGTTGTGTTGTGTTGTGTTGTGTTGCAACGTATCGCCTTACTCTTAACTTTGTATTTATTTATTTTGCAGAAAGTTTAACATATTAAAGAAATTTACCTCGTCAGAGTGGCTTTGTTTACACTCATTTACAATCATCACTATGAAAATGGATGACAAATCATATTTAGGTGAATATAAGGATGTACATAAAAATAGTCAACGTGTTCATTTAATAAAATAAAAATATTACAGTTTATTTACCTATCTAAAAATAATATATTGATTAACTGGGAAAAAATGAATTTCGAGTCAAAGCGAAGAATTATGATCGATGGGGCTGTGATGTTGGAGGAGCTTCACGCAGTACGCCGTCGCCAGGTGTTAAGTTCTATTTGCCAAAACAAGAAACTGATTTATCTAGACAGTGACCAGCGTGCTGTTGACACTAAACACTTTGAAGTTAATAGATTTTGTCCTCAAAGAAGTTTACCTTAAAACATTATCTTCAAACTTAATTATAAAATATCAAAATATCAACTGGAAATTATAATGTTCAGTGATAGATCTTCGTTAGGGAACAATACTCAGTGGAAACATGAAGACAAATTCTCACCTCCTCCTCCACTACAGCCACCTGAAACACAACACAACGTCAATATTTCCGACATATTAATAGTGACAAGTTTATTAGATTCATCTCAGCATATAATTAATTATTCTCTAGTGTGACAATCAGTAGAGGTGTTGTACTAATAAGCGTTATACCAGTGTGTTAGTCAACCAGTTATTGAACAAGTTAATAAACAAAATTAAGTTATAAAATTGTTCCGCTCTCACCGTGTCAATCATTACACTTAATATCATTTTTCCTTTTTATCTCGACGTCCACCACCGAAGCTGCCGCCTCCGCCAAACCCGCCGCCGCCATCCCGCCTGCGGCCACAACACGGCTCAGCCTCGGCTTCGGCTTCAGCATTGACGTAGACGGCCATGATGGCCACCAGGACCACCATCAGGAGGAAAGTCCACTTCTGTAGGAGACGAACAGGACTATGGCGCGTGTAGGTGTTGATATACTAAGACTACACACACACACACACACACACACACACATGCCTCCAGAAGAGCAGTGAGTGACGAAGAAGTTTGGGCGATGAAGGTCTTCTGACATCGTGTACTTATGACCACTTTCAACTCACAGTCAACACGACAGCGTTTGAAAAGGCTGAATTTAATATTGTCTTAACTGTGTGAGTGTGTCACCAGAGGGTCACCAGTTAACTTGCCTCTGGTCACAGCTACACACGATGACTTATACTCTCCAATACCAAACAAAAGCGATTTAAGAACTAAACTGCAGGTGAATATTAAGGAGTTTTACCATAACTGCAGAAGGAGGTGGTGGCATTGGCCCTCAGACACAGGTTTCAGCAAATTTAGTGGCCTTCAGCTGGCATCCGCGCACGCAGGAACTCCCCAAATCTTGGCTCTGGTCACCTCAGTAAACCTCGAGAAGGACGGAGGGACGAGGGAGCTTCATGTGTTGGTGTTTGTTTTGGTATAAACGGAGCCGCTGACGACAGCTTCTCTTGTCTTGCTGAGACCGCGTAATGTTTTCTAAACATAATATTTTTTGATGTTTGTAGACATATTCGTGTTCCAGTTGTAAGGTGTTGTAAAAATACTACTACTAGTACTACTACTACTACTACTACTACTACACCTACTTTTTTTTTTACGTGGCCTCCAGCCACACGGGCTTCGTTGGATGTGTTTGTGGCCTATGTCGTTGGATGAGCCACACACGCATTGGGAGGGCAAACTTTCTACTGGCCATCTATACTACTACTATTACCACTTACTACTACTACTACTACTACTTCATCTTACAATGTTATGTTCTTAGCTGAGGGGTAACATCGCTTGTAAGTTTAGATGATGGTGTCAAGTTGAGGTAGTAAAGGCGGTCGCTTGCAGTGCCGGCTAAGGTGTTCCTGTGTGAACACTGACCTCTAACATCATTATTGTACTCTTTTTTTATCTTTTCATTTATTTCATCTATTTTGGGAGAAGATAAACATACAAATTATATTTACCTGTCATACATCGGGATATTTCGTTAAGTCATCAAAGAAATGAGACACAGACCATCATATTCACATCCACAGAAGAAAACAAAATCTAATACGTGTTCATTTATTGAAGACAAAGATTTATACAAGTTCCTAATTTAGTCACAACAACAGATCAAAGTGAAGATACAAGTTTGGGATTTTTGAGAGTCAAAATGAGATTTTTTTTTTTTTTTTTAGAAAGGCGTTAAAGAGGTCGAGAACGTCGTCATAACCGAGAAGTTTCATGCAGGCAGGTCCTCTCTCCAGCAGGTGGGTCCTCCCTCCAGCAGGTGGGTCCTCCCTCCAGCAGGTGGGTCCTCCCTCCAGCAGGTGGGTCCTCCCTCCAGCAGGTAATTCCTCCTTACTTGCCGTAACCTGAAGAAGGATTAGAGAAATGTCATGAAAACCCGGATGGTTAAGGTTCAGATATTGTCTTGTTATGGACCCTCAGTGACAAGTGTCTACAGTGTTATCTTACTCACCTCCTCCTCCTCCAAAACCGCCTCCAAATCCACCACCTGGAAACAGAATTATACATCAGTACAATGAATAATGTTGAGGCATTTTGGTGTAAACTAAACATCAGTAGTGTTGACGTTTGACACACACAGACACAGACACAGACACAGACACACATATTCCAGAATATTTGTTATCGTGTTATCTAATGATGGATTTCAAGTTCCAAAACACTTTTCAGTAATTTTCATGTGATTCATACTCCATAAATAATCATTTTCTACAATACGTCACCTCCAAGTCCGCCGCCGAAGCCGCCACCTCCACCAAAGCCGCCACCACCTCGTCTACGACCGCCGCAACACGGCTCAGCCTCAGCTTCAGCCGCAGGTGCGGCATTGACGTAGACGGCCAAGACGGCCACCAGGACCAACACTAGAAGGGCGCGCCACTGCTGTAGGGGAGACGTGTAGGTCATGAAGACTAGCGTGTATAGATATGGATATATTAAAAGTGTGTGTGTGTGTGTGTGTGATAGGCGAAGACCTTTAGTACTAAGAAATAAACACCATGTATGAAATAACAAGCACTAAAGACTTACGTTATACACTTCAACGAACAAACCGCTCCTCGGTAAACTCACCCACCAGGGTTGGTCACAAACCTACACCACTCACTACTATGAACCAAACAACACTGGTCATTTTAACAGCAAGTTCTCACCTGCTCTACCTGCCCATTTAACATATATCATCTTAGTCCACAGCAGTAAGTATGAGAACACTATCAGGGGGGAGGTCTTACCATTGTTGTTTCAGGAGGCTCACAGACAGCTACTGACTCTCAGCCGCAGGTTCCATAATATATAGCGTCCTCCTCCAGGCCTGTGAACCCCCCATGACCTTCTCGCACTGAACTCAAGTCACCTAATCAAACAGTATTAAAAGGACGAAGGGACAAGTGACCTATCTGAAGGAGTTGGTGTTTGTTCATGTATTGAGGGAGGCGCCGCTACTCAGCCTTCCTCTACCTACTGCACCACACCACACCACACCACACCACACCACACCACATCACACCACACCACACCACACCACACACACCACCACACCACACCACACCACACCCACACCACACCACACACTCCAACACCACATCACACCACACCACACCACCACACCACACCACACACCACACCACACCACACCACACACCCACACACACCACACACACACCACACCACACCACACCACACCACACCACACACACCACACACCACACCACACCACACCACACCACACCACACCACACACACACCACACCACACCACACCACACCACACCACACCACACACACCACACCACACCACACCACACCACACCACATCACACCACACCACACCACACCACACTCAACACTCATTATTACCATTGTGTCTCACCTGCTTGGGATCATAACATTAAAATGACACTTTACCTGTGTGCTTAATCACGACTCTCCATCCCTGTATTAGGAAAACTGTTAACACGATACTTTGAATATAAACAAAGTATTTTAACCATACTTGGTATGTGGGTATATCACCTAATAAAAGCTTTCAGATTATCACCAAAAATAATAGTTCCTTTAACATTGTTTAGCCCCAGCGGATGACCTGATTATATTTAATGGCGAACTTGTTGAAAAATTAATCTAAATAACACGAAAAATAAAGCCAGGAAAAGCCGTCCTTGGTTCTCATAACTCAGGGTCTAAAAGTATTCCAGAGTGACCAATTAGGGATTCTGAGGAGAGAGAGAGAGAGAGAGAGAGAGAGAGAGGATACGAACGCAGTTGTAAAGATCTTTTTAAAGTGTTTGGTTCTTCAGGGTGAGAGAGGCAGTCAACAAGGCCGTGACGTCAAGACAAACACCGAAGGAGACGGCAGTTGGATTGTTCTTTCCTACTGAGGGATTACATTACCACTGACTGTGGGCTTAAGAGCTGTGGCCTCAGAGACAGACACCCCCCAAGTGCTCTACTGTGGGGGTCAGACGTTGCCCACAGTACCAAGTCTTCATTCACAGCTAACATAACTTCCATAATTATTGTATATGAAATAGTAAACAACGAGAAGAGAATAAGTAGGAATGGAGATTAAAGGGAATAAATAGAGACATATAAAGAGCAGATGTATATAGAGTTGTGAAAGAGGTGAGAATAAAATAAGTCAACAGGAGCCTGATGACTGTGAGTCTACCTGAGTCTACCTGTCACACCAGCGAGAACTAATATGTGTATTAAAGGTGATCTTACGTTTAAGAATAAATATTTAGTGAGAGTGTGTTGTGATGTTGTGTTGTGAGAAAAACTTACTGAAACAATACAATTATATGCAGACGGTCTGAAGGATATATGAGATGTGTACCGTCAATTATTGTTATCTTATAAACTTACCAAAACAATTATTTTGGTCTGATATACCAACATAAACAGAGATATTTTTGAACTTTTGTATAATCATCATATGTCTTCTGTACCAAGTATAAGATTAACAGAATAACTTTTTTTTTATGGAATATAAAAAAAAATAAATAAAATACGTATTGCGTGTTACTTCCGTGATGAGAACATAAATGCCATTAACAAATTGAGGATGAACACAAGGCCGTGCGGGAGCCAGAACACAGAAGCGATCGGCGTCACAGTTCACGAATTATACGAGCAAACATTGACAGTGGAGGTGCATTACGTAGCTGCTACCTGCTGTCCTTTCGCCCTTGAGGGGGGTTTACCGAGGTGACTGAGAGAACTGTGGGGAGGACGTGCGTGGGCAGCAGTGGTCTATATATATAAGAGAATCTGCAGCCTAGAGTCAGTTATCCAGCCTCCTGCAACAACAATGGTAAGATGTCTACACCTGCCTAACTGTACCTTTACTAGATCCATCACTTCCGACTGACAGACATAGAGGGTAGCATACATAAGCGTTTTGATTTACGAGTAAAGTTTGTGAGAGGGAAGAACTCAATAACACCTTAACTGTTGTATTTATGCCAGGAGGTTCACTGCCAGCTTTAACCTGTGCTAGCTAGAGTGTTTAATATCTTGTAGTGATTTGATGAAGAAAAGTTGTACGAGAAAACTTAGAAGTTATTTAGAAGTTATTTAAGGCACATGATTGTGAGATACGAATTCAGGTTTATGTTTACAGTCTCCAACAGGTTTGGTAAATAAGTATGTGAATAAGAATAACATAGTTATTTGATGTGTTTATGTGTGTATAATTCACTACCTCTGTACGTGATCATGCTGCTCCTCCGCCCCATCAGAAGTGGTTCTCTCTCGTCGTCCTCGTGGTGGTGGCCGTGTTGGCCGCCTTCACTAGCGCTGAACCACTGCGTCCTGGCCAAGACGGTCATGGAGTCCGTATTCGACCAGGCCAAGACGGACACGGAATTCGTATTCGACCAGGCCAAGATGGCCATGGCACCCATATTGGCGGCCCAAGTGGTGGCTTTAATGGTGGAGGAATCCGTCATCAAGGTAATGTTTGTGACCTGACTTTAGGAGGCACTGTGTGGTGGGCTGACTTGTGTATGTTAGTCATTCTAAGACTCAGTGAGTTTATTATCAAATATGTCTTGTTAAATTTGGTGTAGTTAATATTATCATCTGAGCTGAGCGTTGAGTGCAAGAGATAAACAATAAAATACTCGCATATAAAGTATAGAGACGAAGATCGACATTAAGAAACATCTAAAGTCTAATAAATAAACAGAAATCGAGAAGATTTTTATAATATCTAGTAAGGAAAATATCAACTGTTTTGAAATAACCTTTGAGAAATATTTCCATGATTAATTGTGTTGTCTTTTTTGTAGACTAACGGCTGAGGACCTGACCTGCCTGCTGGGGGATTGATGGCGAGGGGCCTCTTGTGTGAGTCTCCACAACTCTGACCAGCGTCTTGACCAGAGTATCAGTATTCTCGACAACCATCAACACTGTCTATAAGATTATGTTCGTCGACGAATAAACAAAAACTTATAATCCTTCTGTTTTATTACACTGAGATGAATTTATATGCTTATGCAAATCTTTCCCTAAATACTGATATTATTATTGGCTACAGACTACAAGACCTAACACACACGGGAATAGTAATAACAATAATAATAATAATCATCATCATCATCATCAGAAGGAAATGATTGGTGTGATAAAACAAACGCGATACAACAATAAAAAATAAACTCATTTAAGACATCTTGGGGTGACTGTGATGATTGGAAGTAATTAGCATAGAGCAAAATCCATATATGAAATAAGTAAATATATAAAACCTTAAAACCCTTACAATAACCACAGGTAAACAGCAATAACCACAGGTAAACAACAATAACCACAGGTAAACAGCAATAACCGTAGGTAAACAGTAATATCAACAGGTAAACAGTAATATCAACAGGTAAATAACAATAATCACAGATAATCAACAATATCCACAGGTAAACAACAATAATCACAGATAGACAACAATATCCACAGGTAAACAACAATATCCACAGGTAAACAACAATAATCACAGATAATCAACAATATCCACAGGTAAACAACAATATCCACAGGTAAACAACAATAATCACAGATAGACAACAATATCCACAGGTAAACAACAATATCCACAGGTAAACAACAATAATCACAGATAAACAATAATATCAACAGGTAAACAACAATAATCACTGATAGACAACAATATCGACAGGTAAACAACAATAATCACATATAAACAATAATATCCACAGGTAAACAACAATAATCATAGATAAACAATAATATCCACAGGTAAACAACAATAATCATAGATAAACAACAATATCCACGTCACTGCTTTGCGAGAAACAAAATGGCCACGCGCTGTGAAAGTCTACGGGCTTTTCTCGTCCACTCCTCCAACCAAACTTTCAGAGTTAGCGAAAATACCATAATAAGAAATCAACACAGATTATTAAATATTTTAAAACATTATCTTTTTCACGTAAGTTTGTGTTGATGTTATAATGTATTAAAGTACAGTCCGTTTCACTGGTGTGTTTACAGGGGCTCGTCAGGTTTTGTGGAGTGTGGCAGCCCCGTGTTTGTTTATATTTAACAGAAGGAAACTCGCAATAGTAAACATACCAGGGAATTAAAGTAAAACAATATTAAAACAAATATCTCAATGTAATGATTTGTGGAATGTTTATATGAAGAGCCCCTGTAAATGTACTAGTGGAGGGGACTGTACCTGAACAATTAAAGATTTAACAGCGTGTATTCTAAAGCTATTACAGTAATCATCAAGAAATATGAATTACAGAGAGATACATCTTTCTTTAAGGTAAGAATTATTATACAACAACAGTAACTATAGCTCCTAATATCTTGTTGTTTTGATAATTACAAACCGAATTCTCTTGACGTAAACTTCAAATATATCGTCATCTGTTTAGTAACTTCTGCATAATATTTGTCTTTCTAAATATTTTTACTTTCTTGAAAAATTTGAAGGAAAAATATCTTCTTTTATCCGAACACAATTATTTTTCATTTGTTTATTTTTTGACGTTCGGTTTTGTTTTGATTTTAGAAGGTCAAAATTAAATTAATATATAGAGAGTTTTTGTCCTTTGATTTCTTATGCATATTGCCCTTCCCCCCGCCCGTCCTCTGAGTATAATGAATTAGTCTATTGAGTACATCTGAACCCTTTGAGTTGATATCTGAACCCCTTGAGTTGATATCTGAACCCCTTGAGTTGATATCTGAACCCCTTGAGTTGATATCTGAACCCCTTGAGTAGTATCAGTTAAGGTATTAAATACGATGCCATTACCCCTTTGAGTACGAGGATCTCATTTTAAGTGCGATTACATTCTACACAAGGGTTAACTCATCGTACTCAAGGGGGTTGGCCTCGTACTCAGGGGCTAAGATATTAGATAAAGAACTTACTAAGCTATATCACTGTTACTGTTGAAGTGTGGGGTTGGCTTAGGTTAGGTTAGGTTAGATTAGGTTAGGTTAGGTTAGGTTAGGTGGCCGACATTATGACAGCCACTACGGGTAACTCAGTGTATGTGTAACAACTAATGTGTGTTTCTTCTCATCTCACATAATTTACTTTGGTGGAAGTTAAACCTCTGATGGAAACAAATTTTCTTTCCTATAGATAACTCCTATGGTTAAAAGATTCACACAAACAGTACAAATCAACTCGTTGCAATAAAACAATAATTGATAGCCGTTTGTTTATTAAAGTACACAATCTTACAAAATTTGGTGACATAAGTTACATTGGTTAAAGAAAAACGAAAATATTAGATCTTTTCAGTCAGTTATGAAGGATTTACAAAAAAAAAGTTATTCCTGTAATCTAAGATGTTGTCATGGTCGAGGAACTTCGTGCAGGTCGTCGTCATCAGCAGGCAGGTCTTCAGCCTTTACTTGCCCCAACCTGAGGCAGCAAAAAAATGAGATTAGTATAATGAACCTAGTGAAGTCTTTGACACTTATTAATGTTTATTTATAGAAGAAAATATTGGTTCAAATTAGCCACTATTGAGAGTTATGACACATCTATTGCGTTTGTTTGAATATGAATACTTGTTGTTTTGCTCACCTCCTCCTCCTCCAAAGCCGCCACCAAATCCTCCACGACTTCCACCTCCGAAGCCGCCACCTCCACCGAAGCCGCCGCCACCTCGTCTACGACCGCAACACGGCTCAGCTTCAGCCGCAGCCTCAGCCTCAGCCGCAGGTGCGGCGTTGACATAAACGGCCAAGACGGCCACCAGGACCAACACTAGAAGGGCGCGCCACTGCTGTAGGGGAGACGTGTAGGTCATGAAGACTGTATCAAGTTCCTTGCCTTATGACAGCTACAGGGCGCCACCTCCTAGGCTTCACTCATTATCAACAGCATCACATATCTCGGATGTCAAAAAACTACTAATTTTTTTTATTATTTTAACTCGAGCTGTAGCCAGAACTTATACGCTTATAATCAAAACACTGATGGAACATTGAGACTCAGGGAGAAATAGGTGTGTGAAGTGCTCACAAGCCACCACGATGTACTGTACTGTCTATGTTAGAAGCTTCCACCTACTGTACTGTGGCTCTCACTCACGAACCAGACAACACTACTTCATTATTATTGATCTCTCCTGATCTTTCATCGTAAACTACACACGAAGTATTGATCCTGAGTACCAAGAGAGAAGGAGACTCGGGAGTAAACCTTACCATCGTTGTTGTAGGAGGCAGGACAACTGGCCCTCCACCTCTGGTTCCCTCTTATATAGTGCTGTCCTCCAGGCTGGGTAGCAAGCATGACCTTCCAAAACTACACTCAGTCACCTTAGTAAACCCTTCCAAGGCTGAAGGGACAGGTATACTATGCATTACCTGGAATTGTTAATGTTTGTTCTTGCACTGATAGAGTGGTCGATGACCGCTACCTAGCCTCGCTGCGCCGGTCCCTCGCCGCCTCGCACCCATTGTCTGTTAACTGATGCGTCCTTAAGACTTCTTTTATCACATTTCATCCAAGATAATCCTTGCTAAAGTTAAGCAACAGATTTAAGCAAAACACAATTAATAAGAAAGAGACATAATCACCAAGACATGTAAACTTCCTCACGCCTTGACATGTAAACTTCCTCACGTCTTGACCTGTAAACTTCTTCACGCCTTGACATGTAAACTTCCTCACGCCTTGACATGTAAACTTCCTCACGTCTTGACCTGTAAACTTCCTCACGCCTTGACATGTAAACTTCCTCACGCTCTCCGTCTCTCATTTCTCCTGTATTACCATCAACCACTCACCTCACAAAACCAAACTTCATCATCGATCATCCCAACATATTTCTTGTTACAACTTAGAGATCCAACCCACAAAAGGCAGGGAGGAACATCTAGGTGAGCATTTCCCCGATAAAAATACACATACTGTAGTACACAATATTGTAATAAGGAATTTTACCATAGTTCTTAAGCGAAGTTATCCAGACGGCCCCCATCTGGATTATAGATACCAGTCAGTCCTCCGTCCCATCCATGAACCCTGAGACTCAAGAACCTGTCAATCCGAGACATGACACATTGTTGGGTCTATAGATGGTGCACTGTGTGATGTCTCGGATTCACAGGGTTCATGATTCACAGGGTTCATGATTCACAGGGTTCATGGATGGGACGGAGGGCTGATAGGACTTTCTTTGTTGGGTGTATATATACATTCCTATATAGATTCAATACTTTCTAAATTCTACTCACACAACACGTAGAAAGTATAGTTTTAGATAGAAAATAGTTTATGTTAATCTCTCATCTCAGCAACCCTCTGCAGTGGTGATGAAGGAACACTCTCACACTAAACTACACAATAGTGGGACTTGGCAGCGTCGATCTCTCCTCCACACTGACCGACTCTTCACAGTCATCTTACACTAATATTGATTCTTTGTTTGGATGTATTTACTTAAACAAGCTTAATATTAACATTTAGAGGATATTTATTTATTGTATTGCCTGAAAATCAAATGTGTTGAATATGAGTGAAAGTTTTGATATTAGTAATGAATTAAATAGGTAAAATGCCTTTATATTTTCAAGTTTTTCATTATATATTTATAATGTGAAGAACACATTCAAATAGACTGTGTGCAAAGACTCATTAAAGACTCAAGAAAAGATTTACCTTTTGATATACAGGTGAACAAGAGAGGCAAACACTACCTGGAAACACACCAGTCAATGTTTACCCAAATAATGAAACGAATGAAACAATTTAGAGAGAAATAGCTTGACGAATATGTCTTAGGTTAGGATAGGTTAAGTTTCACATGAGATTGTAGATTATGTTTGAAATTATTTGATATAACGTAAGGGAAGATGGTATAAGCGGGTGTGGAGACAAAACTGAATGTTAGATTGAACCAACTCAACATAGCAAGTTGGTCACCAAGTATTCGTCAGCTACTTATGATAAACATATTAACGGTATTTAATGTGTTATCTTGTTCCTCACGATTTGTTTGTTCAGTCAGTAAGAAACAAGATACAGAATATCACTTTTTCATGTCTTTTATTATATCAAGTATTTCATGAAAAATAAAGATATTTTGGAAATGATTTACACAAATAGAACAACATTGTTAAAAATTCTTTTAATTTATTAAGGAAAACAACCTTACAAATATTACCAATTTATTCGAGAGAAAAAAAAAGCTATATTCAAACAGTTGAAGTAAAATTTGTTATCATTGAAGACGACGTGGTGTGATGATAAGATTATGTCGTGATCTTAAGTTGTCTCCTGGCCGAGAGCTTCACGTCGTCGGCAGCAGTCCTCCAGCAGGCAGGTCCTCCACCTGTACATGTTCTAACCTGTGGAGAGATAGGGTGAAAGTTTGACTAAAATGAACATCTGGGGTGCTGTAAGTTTCTCCTATATTATATCAGTAACTCGTTATGTGTTACATCATAATTCTGTATTATAGAGTAACGATGTTTACGTCAATAGCTTATTTTGGCTTAGAACTAATGTTATCACAGCCGTTATCCTCACCATACTGACGGATTCCACCACCGTTGAAGCCTCCACCTGGACCCAGATCACGGATTCCACCGCCGTTGAAGCCTCCACCTGTGCCTAGGTCACGGATTCCACCGGCCTCCACCTGTGCCTAGGTCACGGATTCCACCGCCATTGAAGCCTCCACCTGTGCCTAGGTCACGGATTCCACCACCGTTGAAGCCTCCACCTGGACCCAGATCACGGATTCCACCGCCGTTGTAGCCTCCACCTGTGCCTAGGTCACGGATTCCACCACCGTTGAAGCCTCCACCTGTGCCTAGGTCACGGATTCCACCGCCATTGAAGCCTCCACCTGTGCCTAGGTCACGGATTCCACCGCCGTTGAAGCCGCCACCTGTACCATATTGACGGATTCCGTGACCGTCTTGGCCAGGACGTATATCAGCGCCGACGTGGACGGCCAACACCACCAGGACTATAAGGGCACTCCACTCCTGTAGGGGAACATGTAACTTGTATTAAGTTATTATTATTATTATTATTATTATTATTATTATTATTATTATTATTATTATTATTATTAATATTATTATTATTATTATTATTATTATTATTATTATTATTATTATTATTATTATAATTATTATTATTATTATTATTATTATTATTATATAGGAGACAAGAGTCGTCTTACCATTAGTTGATGATGTCTGGTACAAGTGACTCTCAGCTTCAGGTGTTGGACGTATATATACTGCAGTGCCTTCCTGTAGGAGGTGCGCGCGCAGGAGAGGCCAAAGCTTCTCTCCTGTCACCTGTGTAAACAAGGTCGAGGGGAAGTGATGAAAACAATCAGGAAAAGTTGATACTAATGAGCTCAGGGTCTGTGGGAGGTGTTGATAACCGATGCTGCCTCTGAGCCTAACACTAACCTTTGTTTACGCCTGATCTTTGATCTTCATGCTGTTGTTAAAAGTCTCTTGTTCTGTATAAACAATCAAATAATATACTTAATAATTTGATGTATATAAAATTTTGTAAAGTATTATAATATTTAGTAAGAAGTATTTATGTGAAATGAAATTTCGTAAAATATTCCGGTCTTTAACTGTTGGTAAGGCAATGATATCAACACACGAATAAATAACAGAATTACTACACAACGCTGCTATTGTTGACTTCCTTGTTGGTCGCTGCGGGAACCAACGAAGAACGCAGTAATGGTGTTAACAATATTGACTTTAAATGTCCTTGGTCAAAGATTGTCGTCACGCGGAAAATGTGAGTCTCGGCAGCTCGGGGGAGGGAGAGAGGAACCAACATGTTTGAACATTTTGTTTATTAAAGATTAAATGAAATGTTACATTGTCTCTGTTTTTTAAGGAGGAGAAACACCGTTGAATAATCACGATTAATAATACTCACCCTTCATTTAACTCTTTGTTTACACTGTCAACCCCCTGAGTACAATGCTTTAGCCCTAAGATATCCTAACCCATTGAGTACATTTGCTTATCTCCTTGAGTACGATGGTTTAACCCTTTGAATAAGATTACACGTTCAACTGAGCTTCTGTAGTCGGCCAACTCGCTGGTCTACCACGACGATACTTTATGTAGCTCCTCCACCTCCTTCATCAACCACAAGGCTGTAGGTGAGTCTTAGTGACGTCATGTTTAATGTTAATGTTATCCTGCTGTTAACATTACCGGTTTATATAACACAGTAGTTCATTATATTACCTACATAAGTGTTCTCTCGTAGCAGTAGAGAAGTCGTGTGTTGGCGAATATACAATGGTGAAGTATTAAGCGTCTTTTACAATGACTAATTGAAGTTTGGAAAGATTTTATCATGTTGAAATTGTTGTAGTGGACGACAGTGCAAGTTCCTGGCTATATCCTTTATGGTCCAGTCAAGTGTTTAAAGGGTGATACATTTTTCCTGCATAAAGTCAAAGATGATTATTGTAGATATCGGTGAATTGATTCCATATCATTAAAAACGTCTTATGTTGTCGAATAATAACAACTTGATTGTACTCTGAATTAGGTTAGGTTAGGTTAGGTTAGGTTAGGTTAGGTTAGGTTATTTACCGCTGATACTATTCATTTATTGTCTGTATAGTGTTTATCTACCATGATCGTTTCCATATAAACACCAGCGCAGTAATTCAGTAAAATAAAACAAATATTAAATCTTTTGCTCTGTTGCCTTGACAAGACACATGGCATTGTATGTCTGCCATTATGTTCCGTCTTTCCTCTCGTCTTGAGCTTGTCAGTAGTTACCTGTATGATCTATATGGGTAAACTTCTCTATCAGTGTTCCAACTTCATGTTAGTGTGTTGCTACTGAGCCATTATAACAGTAACTGAGTTAGCCGTGTTATATATGTTATCAGTAGTAGTCGTGTTATCTTGTTCTTATCATGTGGTTTGTTTATTAATAGGAAAGAATATACTTTATGTTACTTTCTTATCAGCATTTATTGCATCAAACATTTTTTGGACATAGATTATTTTTTGACATTTATTTATAGACAATAAAATTAAGATCAATAAAATGACAGAATAAATTATATAATTTATTTCAGTTATTAAGTAAAAAACTTACAAATTTTAACAATTCATGTGAGGGAAAAATTACATTCAAACAGTTGAAGTAAAATTTGTTATCATTGAAGACGACGTGGTGTGATGATAAGATTATGTCGTGATCTTAAGTTGTCTCATGGCCGAGAGCTTCACGTCGTCGGCAGCAGTCCTCCAGCAGGCAGGTCCTCCACCTGTACATGTTCTAACCTGTGGAGAGATAGGGTGAAAGTTTGACTAAAATGAACATCTGAGGTGCTGTAAGTTTCTCCTATATTATATCAGTAACTCGTTATGTGTTACATCATAATTCTGTATTATAGAGTAACGATGTTTACGTCAACAGCTTATTTTGGCTTAGAACTAGTATTATCACAGCCGTTATCCTCACCATACTGACGGATTCCACCACCGTTGAAGCCTCCACCTGCGCCTAGGTCACGGATTCCACCACCGTTGAAGCCTCCGCCTGGTCCTAGGTCACGGATTCCACCGCCATTGAAGCCTCCACCTGCGCCTAGGTCACGGATTCCACCACCGTTGAAGCCTCCACCTGGCCCCAGATCACGGATTCCACCGCCGTTGAAGCCTCCACCTGTACCATATTGACGGATTCCGTGACCGTCTTGGCCAGGACGTATATCAGCGCCGACGTGGACGGCCAACACCACCAGGACTATAAGGGCACGCCACTCCTGTAGGGGAACATGTAACTTGTATTAAGTTATTATTATCATTATTATTATTATTATTATTATTATTATTATTATTATTATTATTATTATTATTATTATTATTATTATAGGGAGACAAGAGTCGTCTTACCATTAGTTGATGATGTCTGGTGCAAGTGACTCTCAGCCTCAGGTGTTGGACGTATATATACTGCAGTGCCTTCCTGCAGGAGGTGCGCGCGCAGGAGAGGCCAAAGCTTCTCTCTTGTCACTTGTGTAAACAAGGTCGAGGGGAAGTGATGAAAACAACCAGGTTAAGTTGATACCAATGAGCTCAGGGCCTGTGGGAGGTGTTGATAACCGATGCTGCCTCTGAGCCTAACGCTAACCTTTGTTTACGCCAGATTTTTGATCTTCATGCTGTTGTTAAAAGTCTCTTGCTCTGTATAAACAATCAAATAATATACTTAATAATTTGATGCATAAAAAATGTTGTAGGATATTATAACATTTAGTAAGAAGTATTTATGTGAAATGAAATTTCGTAAAATTTTCCGTTCTTTAACTGTTGGTAAGGCAATGATATCAACACACGTTGATTAAATAACAATTACTACACAACGCTGCTGCTGTTGACTTCCTTGTTGGTCGCTGCGGGAACCAACGAAGAACGCAGTAATGGTGTTAACGATATTGACTTTAAATGTCCTTGGTCAAAGATTGTCGTCACGCGGAAAATGTGAGTCTCGGCAGCTCGGGGGAGGGAGAGAGGAACCAACATGTTTGAACATTTTGTTTATTAAAGATTAAATGAAATGTTACATTGTCTCTGTTTTTTAAGGAGGAGAAACACCGTTGAATAATCACGATTAATAATACTCACCCTTCAATTAACTCTTTGTTTACACTGTCAACCCCCTGAGTACAATGCTTTAGCCCCAAGATATCCTAACTCATTGAGTACATTTGCTTATCTCCTTGAGTACGATGGTTTAACCCTTTGAATAAGGTTACACGTTCAACTGAGCTTCTGTAGTCGGCCAACTCGCTGGTCTACCACGACGATACTTTATGTAGCTCCTCCACCTCCTTCATCAACCACAAGGCTGTAGGTGAGTCTTCGTGACGTCATGTTTAATGTTAATGTTATCCTGTTGCTAACATTAACGGTTTATATAACACAGTAGTTCATTATATTACCTACATAAGTGTTCTCTAGTAGCAGTAGAGAAGTCGTGTGTTGGCGAATATACAATGGTGAAGTATTAAGCGTCTTTTACAATGAATAATTGAAGTTTGGAAGGATTTTATCACGTTGAAAGTGTTGTAGTGGACGACAGTGCAAGTTCCTGGCTATATCCTTTATGGTCCAGTCAAGTGTTTAAAGGGTGATACATTTTTCCTGCATAAAGTCAAAGATGATTATTGTAGATATCGGAGAATTGATTCCATATCATTAAAAACGCCTTATGTTGTCGAATAATAACAACTTGATTGTACTCTGAATTAGGTTAGGTTAGGTTAGGTTAGGTTAGGTTAGGTTAGGTTAGGTTAGGTTAGGTTAGGTTAGGTTATTTACCGCTGATACTATTTATTTATTGTCTGTATAGTGTTTATCTACCATGATCGTTTCCATATAAACACCAGCTTAGTAATTCAGTAAAATAAAACAAATATTAAATCTTTTGCTCTGTTGCCTTGACAAGACACATGGCATTGTATGTCTGCCATTATGTTCCGTCTTTCCTCTCGTCTTGAGCTTGTCAGTAGTTACCTGTATAATCTATATGGGTAAACTTCTCTATCAGTGTTCCAACTTCATGTTAGTGTGTTGCTACTGAGCTATTATAACAGTTACTGAGTTAGCCGTGTTATAAATGTTATCAGTAGTAGTCGTGTTATCTTGTTCTTATCATCTGGTTTGTTTATTAATAGGAAAGAATATACTTTATGTTACTTTCTTATCAGCATTTATTGCATCAAACATTTCCTGCACATAGATTATTTTTTGTCATTTATTTATAGATAATAAAATTAAGATCAATAAAATGACAGAATAAATTATATAATCTATTTCAGTTATTAAGTAAAAAACCTTACATATTTTATCAATTCATGTGAGGGAAAAATTACATTCAAACAGTTGAAGTAAAATTTGTTATCATTGAAGACGACGTGGTGTGATGATAAGATTATTTCGTGATCTTAAGTTGTCTCATGGCCGAGAGCTTCACGTCGTCGGCAGCAGTCCTCCAGCAGGCAGATCCTCCACCTGTACATGTTCTAACCTGTGGAGAGATAGGGTGAAAGTTTGACAAAATGAACATCTGAGGTGCTGTAAGTTTCTCCTATATTATATCAGTAACTCGTTATGTGTTACATCATAATTCTGTATTATAGAGTAACGATGTTTATGTCAACAGTTTATTTTGGCTTAGAACTAATGTTATCACAGCCGTTATCCTCACCATACTGACGGATTCCACCACCGTTGAAGCCTCCACCTGCGCCTAGGTCACGGATTCCACCACCGTTGAAGCCTCCACCTGGTCCTAGGTCAGGGATTCCACCGCCATTGAAGCCTCCATCTGTACCATATTGACGGATTCCACCGCCATTGAAGCCTCCACCTGTGCCTAGGTCACGGATTCCACCGCCGTTGAAGCCTCCACCTGGCCCCAGATCACGTATTCCACCGCCGTTGAAGCCGCCACCTGTACCATATTGACGGATTCCACCGCCATTGAAGCCTCCACCTGTGCCTAGGTCACGGATTCCACCGCCGTTGAAGCCTCCACCTGTGCCTAGGTCACGGATTCCACCGCCGTTGAAGCCGCCACCTGGCCCCAGATCACGTATTCCACCGCCGTTGAAGCCGCCACCAGTACCATATTGACGGATTCCGTGACCGTCTTGGCCAGGACGTATATCAGCGCCGACGTGGACGGCCAACACCACCAGGACTATAAGGGCACGCCACTCCTGTAGGGGAAAATGTAACTCGTATTAAGTTATTATGATTATTATTATTATTATTATTATTATTAATATTATTATTATTATGATTATTATTATTGTTATTATTATTATTATTATTATTATTATTATTATTATTATTATTATTATTATTATTATTATTATATAGGAGACAAGAGTCGTCATACCATTAGTTGATGATGTCTGGTACAAGTGATTCTCAGCCTCAGGTGTTGGACCTACTGTATATATACTGTAGTGCCTTCCTGCAGGAGGTGCGCGCGCAGGAGAGGCCACGCGCGTTAGGAGAGGCCAAACTGTCTCTCTTGTCACCTGTGTAAACCCAGGTCGAGGGGAAGAGATGAAAACAACCAGGAAAAGTTGATACCAATGAGCTCAGGGCCTGTGGGAGGTGTTGATAACCGATGCTGCCTCTGAGCCTAATACTAACCTTTGTTTACGCCTGACTTTTGATCTTCATGCTGTTGTTAAAAGTCTCTTGTTCTGTATAAACAATCAAATAATATACTTAATAATTTGATGTATAAAAAATGTTGTAAAATATTATAATATTTAGTTAGAAGTATTTATGTGAAATGAAATTTCGTAAAATTTTCCGGTCTTTAACTGTTGGTAAGGCAATGATATCAAGACACGTTGATTAAATAACAGAATTACTACACAACGCTGCTATTGTTGACTTCCTTGTTGGTCGCTGCGGGAACCAACGAAGAACGCAGTAATGGTGTTAACGATATTGACTTTAAATGTCCTTGGTCAAAGATTGTCGTCACGCGGAAAATGTGAGTCTCGGCAGCTCGGGGGAGGGAGAGAGGAACCAACATGTTTGAACATTTTGTTTATTAAAGATTAAATGAAATGTTACATTGTCTTTGTTCTTTAAGGAGCAAAAACACCGTTGAATAATCACGATTAATAATACTCACCCTTCAATTAACTCTTTGTTTACACTGTCAACCCCCTGAGTACAATGCTTTAGCCCTAAGATATTCTAACCCATTGAGTACATTTACTTATCTCCTTGAGTACGATGGTTTAACCCTTTGAATAAGATTACACGTTCAACTGAGCTTCTGTAGTCGGCCAACTCGCTGGTCTACCACGACGATACTTTATGTAGCTCCTCCACCTCCTTCATCAACCAGAAGGCTGTAGGTGAGTCTTAGTGACGTTATGTTTAATGTTAATGTTATCCTGCTGTTAACATTACCTGTTTATATAACACAGTAGTTCATTATATTACCTACATAAGTGTTCTCTAGTAGCAGTAGAGAAGTCGTGTGTTGGCGAATATACAATGGTGAAGTATTAAGCGTCTTTTACAATGACTAATTGAAGTTTGGAAAGATTTTATCATGTTGAAATTGTTGTAGTGGACGACAGTGCAAGTTCCTGGCTATATCCTTTATGGTCCAGTCAAGTGTTTAAAGGGTGATACATTTTTCCTGCATAAAGTCAAAGATGATTATTGTAGATATCGGAGAATTGATTCCATATCATTAAAAACGCCTTATGTTGTCGAATAATAACAACTTGATTGTACTCTGAATTAGGTTAGGTTAGGTTTAGGGTTAGGTTAGGTTAGGTTAGGTTAGGTTATTTACCGCTGATACTATTTATTTATTGTCTGTATAGTGTTTATCTACCATGATCGTTTCCATATAAACACCAGCTTAGTAATTCAGTAAAATAAAACAAATATTAAATCTTTTGCTCTGTTGCCTTGACAAGACACATGGCATTGTATGTCTGCCATTATGTTCCGTCTTTCCTCTCGTCTTGAGCTTGTCAGTAGTTACCTGTATAATCTATATGGGTAAACTTCTCTATCAGTGTTCCAACTTCATGTTAGTGTGTTGCTACTGAGCTATTATAACAGTTACTGAGTTAGCCGTGTTATAAATGTTATCAGTAGTAGTCGTGTTATCTTGTTCTTATCATCTGGTTTGTTTATTTAATAGGAAAGAATATACTTTATGTTACTTTCTTATCAGCATTTATTGCATCAAACATTTTTTGGACATAGATTATTTTTTGACATTTATTTATAGACAATAAAATTAAGATCAATAAAATGACAGAATAAATTATATAATTTATTTCAGTTATTAAGTAAAAAACTTACAAATTTTATCAATTCATGTGAGGGAAAAATTACATTCAAACAGTTTAAGTAAAATTTGTTATCATTGAAGACGACGTGGTGTGATGATAAGATTATGTCGTGATCTTAAGTTGTCTCCTGGCCGAGAGCTTCACGTCGTCGGCAGCAGTCCTCCAGCAGGCAGGTCCTCCACCTGTACATGTTCTAACCTGTGGAGAGATAGGGTGAAAGTTTGACTAAAATGAACATCTGAGGTGCTATAAGTTTCTCCTATATTATATCAGTAACTCGTTATGTGTTACATCATAATTCTGTATTATAGAGTAACGATGTTTACGTCAACAGCTTATTTTGGCTTAGAACTAGTATTATCACAGCCGTTATCCTCACCATACTGACGGATTCCACCACCGTTGAAGCCTCCACCTGCGCCTAGGTCACGGATTCCACCACCGTTGAAGCCTCCGCCTGGTCCTAGGTCACGGATTCCACCGCCATTGAAGCCTCCACCTGCGCCTAGGTCACGGATTCCACCACCGTTGAAGCCTCCGCCTGGTCCTAGGTCACGGATTCCACCGCCGTTGAAGCCGCCACCTGTACCATATTGACGGATTATTATTAATATTATTATTATTATTATTATTATTATTATTATTATTATTATTAATATTAATATTATTATTATTATTATTATTATTATTATTATTATTATTATTATTATTATTAATATTAATATTATTATTATTATTATTATTATTATTATTATTATTATTATTATTATTATTATTATTAAGGAGACAAGAGTCGTCTTACCATTAGTTGATGATGTCTGGTACAAGTGACTCTCAGCCTCAGGTGTTGGACGTATATATACTGCAGTGCCTTCCTGCAGGAGGTGCGCGCGCAGGAGAGGCCAAAGCTTCTCTCCTGTCACCTGTGTAAACAAGGTCGAGGGGAAGTGATGAAAACAATCAGGAAAAGTTGATACTAATGAGCTCAGGGCCTGTGGGAGGTGTTGATAACCGATGCTGCCTCTGAGCCTAACACTAACCTTTGTTTACGCCTGATTTTGATCTTCATGCTGTTGTTAAAAGTCTCTTGTTCTGTATAAACAATCAAATAATATACTTAATAATTTGATGTATATAAAATTTTGTAAAGTATTATAATATTTAGTAAGAAGTATTTATGTGAAATGAAATTTCGTAAAATTTTCCGGTCTTTAACTGTTGGTAAGGCAATGATATCAACACACGATTAAATAACAGAATTACTACACAACGCTGCTATTGTTGACTTCCTTGTTGGTCGCTGCGGGAACCAACGAAGAACGCAGTAATGGTGTTAACGATATTGACTTTAAATGTCCTTGGTCAAAGATTGTCGTCACGCGGAAAATGTGAGTCTCGGCAGCTCGGGGGAGGGAGAGAGGAACCAACATGTTTGAACATTTTGTTTATTAAAGATTAAATGAAATGTTACATTGTCTTTGTTCTTTAAGGAGCAAAAACACCGTTGAATAATCACGATTAATAATACTCACCCTTCAATTAACTCTTTGTTTACACTGTCAACCCCCTGAGTACAATGCTTTAGCCCTAAGATATCCTAACCCATTGAGTACATTTGCTTATCTCCTTGAGTACGATGGTTTAACCCTTTGAATAAGATTACACGTTCAACTGAGCTTCTGTAGTCGGCCAACTCGCTGGTCTACCACGACGATACTTTATGTAGCTCCTCCACCTCCTTCATCAACCACAAGGCTGTAGGTGAGTCTTAGTGACGTCATGTTTAATGTTAATGTTATCCTGCTGTTAACATTACCGGTTTATATAACACAGTAGTTCATTATATTACCTACATAAGTGTTCTCTAGTAGCAGTAGAGAAGTCGTGTGTTGGCGAATATACAATGGTGAAGTATTAAGCGTCTTTTACAATGACTAATTGAAGTTTGGAAAGATTTTATCATGTTGAAATTGTTGTAGTGGACGACAGTGCAAGTTCCTGGCTATATCCTTTATGGTCCAGTCAAGTGTTTAAAGGGTGATACATTTTTCCTGCATAAAGTCAAAGATGATTATTGTAGATATCGGTGAATTGATTCCATATCATTAAAAACGTCTTATGTTGTCGAATAATAACAACTTGATTGTACTCTGAATTAGGTTAGGTTAGGTTAGGTTAGGTTAGGTTAGGTTAGGTTATTTACCGCTGATACTATTCATTTATTGTCTGTATAGTGTTTATCTACCATGATCGTTTCCATATAAACACCAGCTCAGTAATTCAGTAAAATAAAACAAATATTAAATCTTTTGCTCTGTTGCCTTGACAAGACACATGGCATTGTATGTCTGCCATTATGTTCCGTCTTTCCTCTCGTCTTGAGCTTGTCAGTAGTTACCTGTATGATCTATATGGGTAAACTTCTCTATTAGTGTTCCAGCTTCATGTTAGTGTGTTGCTACTAAGCCATTATAACAGTTACTGAGTTAGCCGTGTTATAAATGTTATCAGTAGTAGTCGTGTTATCTTGTTCTTATCATCTGGTTTGTTTATTTAATAGGAAAGAATATACTGTATGTTATTTTCTTATCAGCATTTATTGCATCAAACATTTCCTGCACATAGATCATTTTTTGACATTTATTTATAGACAATAAAATTAAGATCAATAAAATGACAGAATAAATTATATAATTTATTTCAGTTATTAAGTAAAAATCCTTACATATTTTATCAATTCATGTGAGGTAAAAATTACATTCAAACAGTTGAAGTAAAATTTGTTATTATTGAAGACGACGTGGTGTGATGATAAGGTTATGTCGTGATCTTAAGTTGTCTCATGGCCGAGAGCTTCACGTCGTCGGCAGCAGTCCTCCAGCAGGCAGGTCCTCCACCTGTACATGTTCTAACCTGTGGAGAGATAGGGTGAAAGTCTGACTAAAATGAACATGTGAGGTGCTGTAAGTTTCTCCTATATTATATCAGTAACTCGTTATGTGTTACATCATAATTCTGTATTAAAGAGTAACGATGTTTATGTCAACAGTTTATTTCGGCTTAGAACTAGTGTTATCACAGCCGTTATCCTCACCATACTGACGGATTCCACCACCGTTGAAGCCTCCACCTGCACCTAGGTCACGGATTCCACCACCGTTGAAGCCTCCACCTGGTCCTAGGTCAGGGATTCCACCGCCGTTGAAGCCTCCATCTGTACCATATTGACGGATTCCACCGCCATTGAAGCCTCCACCTGTGCCTAGGTCACGGATTCCACCGCCGTTGAAGCCTCCACCTGGCCCCAGATCACGTATTCCACCGCCGTTGAAGCCGCCACCTGTACCATATTGACGGATTCCACCGCCATTGAAGCCTCCACCTGTGCCTAGGTCACGGATTCCACCGCCGTTGAAGCCTCCACCTGTGCCTAGGTCACGGATTCCACCGCCGTTGAAGCCGCCACCTGGCCCCAGATCACGTATTCCACCGCCGTTGAAGCCGCCACCTGTACCATATTGACGGATTCCGTGACCGTCTTGGCCAGGACGTATATCAGCGCCGACGTGGACGGCCAACACCACCAGGACTATAAGGGCACGCCACTCCTGTAGGGGAAAATGTAACTCGAATTAAGTTATTATGATTATTATTAGTATTATCATTATTATTAATATTATTATTATTATGATTACTATTATTATTATTATTATTATTATTATTATTATTATTATTATTATTATTATCATTATTATTATTATTATTATTATTATATAGGAGACAAGAGTCGTCTTACCATTAGTTGATGATGTCTGGTACAAGTGATTCTCAGCCTCAGGTGTTGGACCTACTGTATATATACTGTAGTGCCTTCCTGCAGGAGGTGCGCGCGCAGGAGAGGCCACGCGCGTCAGGAGAGGCCAAACTGTCTCTCTTGTCACCTGTGTAAACCCAGGTCGAGGGGAAGAGATGAAAACAACCAGGAAAAGTTGATACCAATGAGCTCAGGGTCTGTGGGAGGTGTTGATAACCGATGCTGCCTCTGAGCCTAACACTAACCTTTGTTTACGCCTGATCTTTGATCTTCATGCTGTTGTTAAAAGTCTCTTGTTCTGTATAAACAATCAAATAATATACTTAATAATTTGATGTATAAAAAATGTTGTAAAATATTATAATATTTAGTAAGAAGTATTTATGTGAAATGAAATTTCGTAAAATTTTCCGTTCTTTAACTGTTGGTAAGGCAATGATATCAACACACGTTGATTAAATAACAGAATTACTACACAACGCCGCTATTGTTGACTTCCTTGTTGGTCGCTCCGGGAACCAACGAAGAACGCAGTAATGGTGTTAACGATATTGACTTTAAATGTCCTTGGTCAAAGATTGTCGTCACGCGGAAAATGTGAGTCTCGGCAGCTCGGGGGAGGGAGAGAGGAACCAACATGTTTGAACATTTTGTTTATTAAAGATTAAATGAAATGTTACATTGTCTCTGTTTTTTAAGGAGGAGAAACACCGTTGAATAATCACGATTAATAACACTCACCCTTCAATTAACTCTTTGTTTACACTGTCAACCCCTGAGTACAATGCTTTAGCCCTAAGATATTCTAACCCATTGAGTACATTTGCTTATCTCCTTGAGTACGATGGTTTAACCCTTTGGATAAGATTACACGTTCAACTGAGCTTCTGTAGTCGGCCAACTCGCTGGTCTACCACGACGATACTTTATGTAGCTCCTCCACCTCCTTCATCAACCAGAAGGCTGTAGGTGAGTCTTCGTGACGTCATGTTTAATGTTAATGTTATCCTGTTGCTAACATTAACGGTTTATATAACACAGTAGTTCATTATATTACCTACATAAGTGTTCTCTAGTAGCAGTAGAGAAGTCGTGTGTTGGCGAATATACAATGGTGAAGTATTAAGCGTCTTTTACAATGACTAATTGAAGTTTGGAAAGATTTTATCATGTTGAAATTGTTGTAGTGGACGACAGTGCAAGTTCCTGTCTATATCCTTTATGGTCCAGTCAAGTGTTCAAAGGGTGATACATTTATCCTGCATAAACTCAAAGATGATTATTGTAGATATCGGAGAATTGATTCCATATCATTAAAAACGTCTTATGTTGTCGAATAATAACAACTTGATTGTACTCTGAATTAGGTTAGGTTAGGTTAGGTTAGGTTAGGTTAGGTTAGGTTATTTACCGCTGATACTATTCATTTATTGTCTGTATAGTGTTTATCTACCATGATCGTTTCCATATAAACACCAGCGCAGTAATTCAGTAAAATAAAACAAATATTAAATCTTTTGCTCTGTTGCCTTGACAAGACACATGGCATTGTATGTCTGCCATTATGTTCCGTCTTTCCTCTCGTCTTGAGCTTGTCAGTAGTTACCTGTATGATCTATATGGGTAAACTTCTCTATCAGTGTTCCAACTTCATGTTAGTGTGTTGCTACTGAGCCATTATAACAGTAACTGAGTTAGCCGTGTTATATATGTTATCAGTAGTAGTCGTGTTATCTTGTTCTTATCATGTGGTTTGTTTATTAATAGGAAAGAATATACTTTATGTTACTTTCTTATCAGCATTTATTGCATCAAACATTTTTTGGACATAGATTATTTTTTGACATTTATTTATAGACAATAAAATTAAGATCAATAAAATGACAGAATAAATTATATAATTTATTTCAGTTATTAAGTAAAAAACTTACAAATTTTAACAATTCATGTGAGGGAAAAATTACATTCAAACAGTTGAAGTAAAATTTGTTATCATTGAAGACGACGTGGTGTGATGATAAGATTATGTCGTGATCTTAAGTTGTCTCATGGCCGAGAGCTTCACGTCGTCGGCAGCAGTCCTCCAGCAGGCAGGTCCTCCACCTGTACATGTTCTAACCTGTGGAGAGATAGGGTGAAAGTTTGACTAAAATGAACATCTGAGGTGCTGTAAGTTTCTCCTATATTATATCAGTAACTCGTTATGTGTTACATCATAATTCTGTATTATAGAGTAACGATGTTTACGTCAACAGCTTATTTTGGCTTAGAACTAGTATTATCACAGCCGTTATCCTCACCATACTGACGGATTCCACCACCGTTGAAGCCTCCACCTGCGCCTAGGTCACGGATTCCACCACCGTTGAAGCCTCCGCCTGGTCCTAGGTCACGGATTCCACCGCCATTGAAGCCTCCACCTGCGCCTAGGTCACGGATTCCACCACCGTTGAAGCCTCCACCTGGCCCCAGATCACGGATTCCACCGCCGTTGAAGCCTCCACCTGTACCATATTGACGGATTCCGTGACCGTCTTGGCCAGGACGTATATCAGCGCCGACGTGGACGGCCAACACCACCAGGACTATAAGGGCACGCCACTCCTGTAGGGGAACATGTAACTTGTATTAAGTTATTATTATCATTATTATTATTATTATTATTATTATTATTATTATTATTATTATTATTATTATTATTATTATTATTATAGGGAGACAAGAGTCGTCTTACCATTAGTTGATGATGTCTGGTGCAAGTGACTCTCAGCCTCAGGTGTTGGACGTATATATACTGCAGTGCCTTCCTGCAGGAGGTGCGCGCGCAGGAGAGGCCAAAGCTTCTCTCTTGTCACTTGTGTAAACAAGGTCGAGGGGAAGTGATGAAAACAACCAGGTTAAGTTGATACCAATGAGCTCAGGGCCTGTGGGAGGTGTTGATAACCGATGCTGCCTCTGAGCCTAACGCTAACCTTTGTTTACGCCAGATTTTTGATCTTCATGCTGTTGTTAAAAGTCTCTTGCTCTGTATAAACAATCAAATAATATACTTAATAATTTGATGCATAAAAAATGTTGTAGGATATTATAACATTTAGTAAGAAGTATTTATGTGAAATGAAATTTCGTAAAATTTTCCGTTCTTTAACTGTTGGTAAGGCAATGATATCAACACACGTTGATTAAATAACAATTACTACACAACGCTGCTGCTGTTGACTTCCTTGTTGGTCGCTGCGGGAACCAACGAAGAACGCAGTAATGGTGTTAACGATATTGACTTTAAATGTCCTTGGTCAAAGATTGTCGTCACGCGGAAAATGTGAGTCTCGGCAGCTCGGGGGAGGGAGAGAGGAACCAACATGTTTGAACATTTTGTTTATTAAAGATTAAATGAAATGTTACATTGTCTCTGTTTTTTAAGGAGGAGAAACACCGTTGAATAATCACGATTAATAATACTCACCCTTCAATTAACTCTTTGTTTACACTGTCAACCCCCTGAGTACAATGCTTTAGCCCCAAGATATCCTAACTCATTGAGTACATTTGCTTATCTCCTTGAGTACGATGGTTTAACCCTTTGAATAAGGTTACACGTTCAACTGAGCTTCTGTAGTCGGCCAACTCGCTGGTCTACCACGACGATACTTTATGTAGCTCCTCCACCTCCTTCATCAACCACAAGGCTGTAGGTGAGTCTTCGTGACGTCATGTTTAATGTTAATGTTATCCTGTTGCTAACATTAACGGTTTATATAACACAGTAGTTCATTATATTACCTACATAAGTGTTCTCTAGTAGCAGTAGAGAAGTCGTGTGTTGGCGAATATACAATGGTGAAGTATTAAGCGTCTTTTACAATGAATAATTGAAGTTTGGAAGGATTTTATCACGTTGAAAGTGTTGTAGTGGACGACAGTGCAAGTTCCTGGCTATATCCTTTATGGTCCAGTCAAGTGTTTAAAGGGTGATACATTTTTCCTGCATAAACTCAAGGATGATTATTGTAGATATCGGAGAATTGATTCCATATCATTAAAAACGCCTTATGTTGTCGAATAATAACAACTTGATTGTACTCTGAATTAGGTTAGGTTAGGTTAGGTTAGGTTAGGTTAGGTTAGGTTATTTACCGCTGATACTATTTATTTATTGTCTGTATAGTGTTTATCTACCATGATAGTTTCCATATAAACACCAGCTCAGTAATTCAGTAAAATAAAACAAATATTAAATCTTTTGCTCTGTTGCCTTGACAAGACACATGGCATTGTATGTCTGCCATTATGTTCCGTCTTTCCTCTCGTCTTGAGCTTGTCAGTAGTTACCTGTATGATCTATATGGGTAAACTTCTCTATCAGTGTTCCAACTTCATGTTAGTGTGTTGCTACTGAGCCATTATAACAGTAACTGAGTTAGCCGTGTTATATATGTTATCAGTAGTAGTCGTGTTATCTTGTTCTTATCATCTGTTTTGTTTATTAATAGGAAAGAATATACTGTGTTACTTTCTTATCAGCATTTATTGCATCAAACATTTCCTGCGCATAGATTATTTTTTGACTATTATTTATATATAATAAAATTAGATCAATAAAATGACAAAATAAATTATGCAGTTTATTTCAGTAATTAAGGTGAGGGAAAAATTATATTTAAACAGTTGAAGTAAAATTTGTTATCATTGAAGACGACGTGGTGTGATGATAAGATTATGTCGTGATCTTAAGTTGTCTCATGGCCGAGAGCTTCACGTCGTCGGCAGCAGTCCTCCAGCAGGCAGGTCCTCCACCTGTACATGTTCTAACCTGTGGAGAGATAGGGTGAAAGTTTGACTAAAATGAATATGTGAGGTGCTGTAAGTTTCTCCTATATTATATCAATAACTCGTTATGTGTTACATCATAATTCTGTGTTATAGAGTAACGATGTTTACGTCAATAGCTTATTTTGGCTTAGAACTAGTGTTATCACAGCCGTTATCCTCACCATACTGACGGATTCCACCACCGTTGAAGCCTCCACCTGCACCTAGGTCACGGATTCCACCACCGTTGAAGCCTCCACCTGGTCCTAGATCACGGATTCCACCGCCGTTGAAGCCTCCACCTGGCCCCAGATCACGGATTCCACCGCCGTTGAAGCCTCCACCTGTACCATATTGACGGATTCCGTGACCGTCTTGGCCAGGACGTATATCAGCGCCGACGTGGACGGCCAACACCACCAGGATTATAAGGGCACGCCACTCCTGTAGGGGAACATGTAACTCGTATAAATTTCTTCTTCTTCTTATTATTATTATTATTTTTATTGTTTTTATTATTATATTACTATTATTATTTTTTTTTTATTAACATTATTATAAAGGAGACAAGAGTCGTCTTACCATTAGTTGATGATGTCTGGTACAAGTGAATCTCAGCTTCAGGTGTTGGACGTATATATACTGCTGTGCCTTCCTGCAGGAGGTGCGCGCGCAGGAGAGGCCAAAGCTTCTCTCTCGTCACCTGTGTAAACAAGGTCGAGGGGAAGTGATGAAAACAATCAGGAAAAGTTGATACCAATGAGCTCAGGGCCTGTGGGAGGTGTTGGTAACCGATGCTGCCTCTGAGCCTAACACTAACCTTTGTTTACGCCTGACTTTTGATCTTCATTCTGTTGTTAAAAGTCTCTTGTTCCGTATAAACAATCAAAGAATGTACTTAAGATGTATAAAAAATGTTGTAGAATATTATAACATTTAGTAAGAAGTATTTATGTGAAGTCAAATTTCGTAAAATTTTCCGGTCTTTAACTGTTGGTAAGGCAATGATATCAACACACGTTGATTATATAACATAATTACTACACAACGCCGCTATTGTTGACTTCCTTGTTGGTCGCTGCGGGAACCAACGAAGAACGCAGTAATGGTGTTAACGATATTGACTTTAAATGTCCTTGGTCAAAGATTGTCGTCACGCGGAAAATGTGAGTCTCGGCAGCTCGGGGGAGGGAGAGAGGAACCAACATGTTTGAACATTTTGTTTATTAAAGATTAAATGAAATGTTACATTGTCTTTGTGCTTTAAGGAGGAAAAATACCATTATAAAATGATTAGCCCAGTGAGTAAGATTTTTTTAGTCTTTTGAGTGATATACAGTATACCAGCTTATACTACAAGTGTCACCAGCAGATGGAAGATGGTAACGAGAGAGAGAGTATGGTAAGGAGTAGGTCAGGTGACAGCAACAGATCTTTCAGTACCACCGTTTTTGTCCTGTTATATAATACATCTTCCTTAGTGGTTCTTCAGTATTCCTTTCACAAGAACATTCCTCGTAACTATTATCCAACAAGCCCCAACATACTTAAAAAAATAAGTTTCAAACTGTTTCCTTTTACTTAGCTAGCTTTTGTTTAAGAATATCCCCCCATACTCTTTAATATCACTAGGAATTTATAGTCCTTAATAAACGCTGTTGACTCCACCTCTCCTTACTCCGATTCCTACCACACCTTCCATCACTGTGTATCGTCTATATTTTCTTTCACTTCATCGAATTAATTTACGTGTTTCCTTGGAATTACTCGTAACATAAAACAAAAAATATTCTTCTTATAGGTAATATTTGGATCGCTTGAAGATTCAACTCCTTATTTTACTTCACCTGGAAATTAGGTGATGGTAACGTGTTTTTATTTCAGTTTATCCAGACTAAGTGAACTTCAGTAATCATTCACTTTATCCTGGATTGAGTTTGGGTTTCTTCCGTACATAAATTCGTCTCATGATTATTTAGCTTTCAATCTTGCCGCCTTTTTTTCTACTTTTAACTGTAACTATACTGTAAATGTACCTTAACTGTACACATACCTTTAACTGTACCTGTATATGTAACTATACTGTACCTGTCTTTGCACCTGTACTTTAACTACACCTGTGCCCTTACTGTACCTGTACATACTTATAGTGCACCAGTTCTGCTCCTGTATCCTCACCTGTACTGTACCTGTACTTACAACTCTCACAGCGATATAATTGTCTAGTCTCATATTCAAGATCTTAATTTGACCTCCAGCAGTTCTAACTTTAAGAATATCAGAGTGACTATTCACCGTAACGAAATGTGCAAGAATGTATGTAACTGATTGACTTAAAACACAAAAATAACTTCCAAGAATATTGTAAAAAATCTATTTGTCTCATTACTTAATCAACAACATTTGCCAACCAACACCCACTTGTTTGGTTGGTCGCCAGATGATTTATCGAAGTAAATAAATCAACGAGTTTTTCTGGTCACTTAGGCTTCGGTTCGTTTCTTTTCAATAATTCTCTGAGTAAAAATTATACATTTAATGAAAGACAGAATTAATTTGTTCATTTATTGAGGATCAGAATAATAAATACACTCCCGACCTGTTTAAGCTACACAGGAAATTGGTATAAATATGAAATAGACATCTAGTTTCTTGGTGAATATAATATCAAAAGTGTCCAGGACGGGAAGATGTTGACGTGATCCAGAGTGTTATCATGGTCATGGAACTTCTTCACGCAGTCCTCTAGCAGGTAGGTCTTCAGCCGTACTGTTCTTGCTCTGGAGAAGGAAAAGAAAAACGTTGATTAATGTGAATTGCAATTTCTTACTTACACACAAGCACAGTTTAGCATTATTAGGACCAAAAGTGTATGGGACATCTTCATTAACAAATTATGAATATCCTCTGACTTAGTTCATATAATTTTTGTCATAAAAAGCCTAAAAGACCATGAAAATATATGAAGAAGTTTTATGAACAACGTATTACCATAGAACACATACTATATTGTTGGGGTCTGTTGTACAGCAGAGTAGAGATACCACTCAAAGAGAACTATATGATGGATAACTACAATATTAGGGAATGATAAGTAATCGTTCAGAATTTATTCGACCAAAGATTATAGTATGATTGTGTTACTTGTCCTACTGTAATATTTTATGCTCGACCACTTCAGATTATGATTTATTCATCTCTGAACTTGGCAAGCATGACCATTACTAAAAATTGTCTTGTTTTTCAGTGCTCTAGAGATACTTCAATAACATCACCGTCTAGCAGTGAAATTTTTTTCTTTGACGAGAAGTACTGTACAACAAAAGTGGTCTGTGATAACCGAACACAACTTTAAATTCTCCTCAAGTATTACCTGTGTGAGAAACTCGATGTTAAGCTTAACTTTGGCTGATTCCACCATCCTTGGGTGGGATTCCACCACCATTGAAGCCTCCACTTGGTCCATCCTTGGGTGGGATTCCACCACCATTGAAGCCTCCACTTGGTCCATCCTTGGGTGGGATTCCACCACCATTGAAGCCTCCACTTGGTCCACCTATTGGGGGGATTCCACCACCATTGAAGCCTCCGCTTGGTCCATCCTTGGGTGGGATTCCACCACCATTGAAGCCTCCACTTGGTCCACCTATTGGGGGGATTCCACCGCCATTGAAGCCTCCACTTGGTCCACCTATTGGGGGGATTCCACCACCATTGAAGCCTCCGCTTGGTCCATCCTTGGGTGGGATTCCACCACCATTGAAGCCTCCACTTGGTCCACCTATTGGGGGGATTCCACCGCCATTGAAGCCTCCACTTGGTCCACCTATTGGGGGGATTCCACCACCATTTTGTCCTGGACGAATTGGATTAATTCCTCCGCCATTTTGTCCTGGACGAATTGGATTAATTCCTCCGCCATTCTGTCCTGGACGAATTGGATTAATTCCTCCGCCATTTTGTCCTGGACGAATTGGATTAATTCCTCCGCCATTTTGTCCTGGACGAATTGGATTAGTTCCTCCGCCATTCTGTCCTGGACGAATTGGATTAATTCCTCCGCCATTCTGTCCTGGCTTTGTCTGAGCACTGACACAGGCGGTCACGAGGACCAGGACTACAAGGGCGCGCCACTCCTGTAGGGACGAGATGGAGACATGTAAGTTATGTTATGTTGGTGAGTGACACACACCGGGTGATGACGATCCCAGTAAACAAGACATTATGTTCTGTCTCCCCACTACCATGATGACTCTACCACTACCATGATGACTCTACCACTACCATGATGACTCTACCACTACCATGATGACTCTACCACTACCATGATGACTCTACCACTACCATGATGACTCTACCACTACCATGATGACTCTACCACTACCATGATGACTCTACCACTACCATGATGACTTACCACTACCATGATGACTCTACCACTACCATGATGACTCTACCACTACCATGATGACTCTACCACTACCATGATGACTCTACCACTACCATGATTGACTACCTACCATGATGACTCTACCACTACCATGATGACTCTACCACTACCATGATGACTCTACCACTACCGCCATTGACTCTACCACTACCGTGACTCTACCCACTGATGATGACTCTACCACTACCATGATGACTACCACTACCATGATGACTCTACCACTACCATGATGACTCTACCACTACCATGATGACTCTACCACTACCATGATGACTCTACCACTACCATGATGACCACTACCACAGTACTCTACCACTACCATGACCACTACCATGATGACTCTACCACTACCATGATGACTCTACCACTACCATGATGACTCTACCACTACCATGATGACTCTACCACTACCACCACTACCACGGCTCTACCACTACCATGATGACTCTACCACTACCATGATGACTCTACCACTACCACGATGACTCTACCACTACCACGATGACTCTACCACTACCATGATGACTCTACCACTACCATGATGACTCTACCACTACCATGATGACTCTACCACTACCACGATGCCTCTACCACTACCACGATGACTCTACCACTACCACGATGACTCTACCACTACCATGATGACTCTACCACTACCATGATGACTACCACTACCATGATGACTCTACCACTACCATCATGACTCTACCACTACCACGATGCCTCTACTACTACCACGATGACTCTACCACTACCACGATGACTCTACCACTACCACGATGCCTCTACCACTACCACGATGCCTCTACCACTACCATGATGCCTCTACCACTACCACGATGTCTCTACCACTACCACGATGCCTCTACCACTACCACGATGACTCTACCACTACCACGATGACTCTACCACTACCACGATGCCTCTACCACTACCACGATGCCTCTACCACTACCACGATGCCTCTACCGTTACAAAGGTGGTGAGAGCTCTTTTCACCCAGCCACAACACTCATTTAGTACAAATATTAATATCACAGAAAATGACTTACTTGAAAACGACTTCCACATTAACCCTTGTGTGATATGTCAGCCTGTGAACCAAACTGCTCTACCCAGCGAGGCAGAAACCTAACCTAACCTAACCTAACCTAACCTAACCTAACCTAACCTAACCTAACCTAACCTAACCTAACCTAACCTAACCTTACTCTGCTAGTCCATTCATATGTGATTTATCTAGTACTTTCAGAAAACCAAAGATAAGAGACGTCTTACCATGATGCTGTGGGATGGTGGGACAAGTGGTTGGATGATGCAGGTTCCTATATATATAGTGTCCTGGAGGTAGGAGGTGCGCACGCATTACCCGGCGTTCATCCTCCTGCTGGTCACTTGAGTCAACATGGTCAAGGGCAGAAGGTCGAATCACTATGTACTAACTAGGGGTGTTGGTGTTTACTCGAGGGAGTTTTCGCGGTAGAGCCAAACGACCTGCATGTCTGCCCTCTCTCTCTCTCTCTCTCCCAGACACACAGACATTCCCCTCTTATATCTTCCTTTCTCACTATCTTTATCCATCTCTCTCTCTCTCTCTCTCTCTCTCTCTCTCTCTCTCTCTCCCACTAATTTCCTCCTCCTCCTCCTCCTGTGTATAAGGCATGAGCTTAGTTCCCTTCCAAGAACCATTGCTTTACATTTGGACGTCACTAGTGCAAGTATTTTCCTCTGAGTCGACTCCTTGGTTGAGTTTGACTATGAGTTATGTAATCCTGGGGTGAGGTGGGATGGGATGGGGCGGAGCGGGGCGGGGCGGGGCGGGGCGGGGCGGTTATACTTCTTACTTTTACTGTTTTCTCTTTATTAATTTCATCATCAATATGTCATATAAAGCACACACACACACACACACACACACACACACACACTTCATCTTTCATTTACACGTAATATTATGAGTATTTCTCGTTACTGAAGATAAAACAATGACTCTAGCTGGTTGGTTGACTTTGGCTACAACACATGAAATAATATCATAATTATCATAACCAAATACTATACCCCTTCCCCACTAAGCTGGCCCATAAGCCCCGCCCCTCAGCTATAGCTTCAAATAGCTGATTGGTTCCCCTGAGCGTTTTACCCCCCCCCCCGGACTGTACGTATATAAGCGTGTATTTATATCGACCTTTTATAATAAATATTTAAAATTTTCTACCATCCTCTTTGAAGTGCTAATGTTTTGAAATCATTTACATTTTGATAGTCCAGATATTTAACATAATCTTAGATAATAACAGATCTGCTTACCAATTGTGATCACATTTAGTTTGAATTTTCTATGAACCAATCAGTTATTAATATAGAATAGGGGCGTGGCTTATGGGCCAGGTTAGCGTGGAAATACCATAGTTCACTTAGCAACATTTATAATACTAAAGCCAATGTACAGTTCCCTTCCCTAGTGAGTTTACAGGGATTGTTAGGTTTTGAGCAGTGTGGCAGCCCTGTGTTTGTTTACATTCGACAGAAGGAAACTCACATTAGTAAACATATTATAGAGTCAAAGTAAAACAATATTAAAACAAATATCTCAAAGATAATGATTTGTGGAATGTTTATATGATGAGCCCCTGTAAACGCGCTAGTGAAGGGGACTGTACATGAACAATTAAAGGTTATATACATTAATTTTACCCTCTTAGTTAATGCTTTCCCTATACCCTCTATCCCTACCCTCCCATACACCCCCTACCCTACCCTCCCATACACCCCTACCCCTACCCTCCCATACACCACCTACCCCTACCCTCCCATACACACCCTATCCCAACCCTCCCATACACACCCTATCCCAACCTCCCATACACCATCCCTACCCTCCCATACACCCCCTACCCCTACCCTCCCATACACCCTATCCCTACCCTCCCATACACACCCTATCCCAACCCTCCATACACCACCTACCCCTACCCTCCCATACACCACCTACCCCTACCCTCCCATACACCCCCTACCCCTACCCTCCCATACACCACCTACCCTACCCTCCCATACACCACCTATCCCTACCCTCCCATACACCCCCTACCCTACCCTCCCTTCCTTCCTCCCTCCCTGTACTAGTGAGAACAAGAGACAGAAATCTACATTGTCTCTGGATTTGTCCTGAAAACAAAGACAAGGTGCTAATAACCTCTTAGGGTGTTGGGGGTTGTGAGTCCTTATTAGTCCTTATGAGTCCTTATCAGTCCTTATGAGTCCTTATGAGTCCTTCTGGGTCTTTGAGAGTCCTTGTGAGTCCTCGTGAGACCTCATGAGTCCTTATGAGTCCTTATGAGTCCTTCTGGGTCTTTGAGAGTCCTTGTGAGTCCTCGTGAGACCTTATGAGTTTTTATGAGTCCTTGTGATCCTCATAAGGGGGTTTGTTTAAATACAGTGGTGAGGTCATAGGCGGGTACAGAGAAGGAGTAGATGGTGTTTGTTGTGTGTGTTAGAGCCACATACACTGTGACGTAAGAGTGTTTAGCGTTTCTGTGTGTGTTGTGTTGTGACTAACTGAAAGAATGAAAGTTGTATCAATATTTACATAACAAGAGAGAGAGAGAGGCCTATAAAACACCTCAGAGATTGAATATACCTTATCAAAACTCTCTCTCACTCTCTCCCTCTCACTCTCTCACTCTCTCCCTCTCACTCTCTCACTCTCTCCCTCTCACTCTCTCACTCTCTCACTCACTCTTTCTCTCACTCTACACTCTACTCGTATTTATATAAAGTAACAATCACTCGGCGCTGGGCTCTATGTTCACGACACCAACCTGAAGCCTAAACCAGCACTTTCCTTTCCTCCATTACTGAGTCGACCATTGACTGTAGGGAGACTCACTATACACACTATGAGTCACACTATACTCACCGTACATTACACTCACCATACTTGAACATACACACTATGACTCATACTCATTGTGTATAATATGCTTAAGATGTCACTATTTCTCATCATACACCATACTCATCATACACCATACTCATCTCATACTCGCATTACTTACCATATAATAAACTCATCTTTAATCATATTTCCCAATTACTCAGCTTGTCACACTTCATAACACTTGTCACACTTCATAACACTTGTCACACTTCATAACAGTGACTCAGTCTGCACCTCACTTCAACCCTCAGAAACCCTTCGTCATTTTCAACAGTTCGTCTTTAACCACTTACACACCTAAGGCCTCAGTTGACACCCTTCAATTCACCTTGTTTTACGTCGTGTTTCTCCGGGTTCATATGTTTTACGTCGTGTTCCTCAGGGTTCATATGTTTAACGTCGTGTTCCTCCGGGTTCATAAGAGTTATATACACAGTTGTTTTTCTGTGTATACAACCCACACAGCTTTACCTTAATCGTTTCTTACTTTGTTATTGTTTATATTTTCAATCTTTATTTTATTTTCTCAGTTAAATAATCATAAATCTGTTGTAAGTTTTAAAGTTTATGAATATTTTTGATTTGGGATAGGACGAAGGGACGATTCAAAGCTTCCCTCCTGTTATTATTGTATTTGCTTCGAGTTCGTGGCACTTCAAGTCCGCCCAGGTGTTAATGGGAACCTGATTGGTGTACTGAAGCTTGGTGTGATGTGTTATTATTTTCCATATTGGGCCGTATAAGGATTTTAGAATCACACACACACACACACACACACACACACACACACACACACACTTCGACTTCTCTTTCAGTACCTCAAGTCACCTTCTGTGTCTACCACCGCTGACCACCCGTCTCTCCCTCACCCACGTAACTCATATACTTGTGTCCTCATATGGTGTGTTCTGAGGAGTGAAAGTTGATTAGTTTCGTGTTCTGATAAGTACTCCGTAATAGCGTGTTCCTATTAGTACTCATAAGGACTCAATCATTTCGTAATCTAATAACAAAATACATCATAACATTTCTAACTAATAAAACACATTATCTCATTCTCTCACGAAAATTCTTAATAATCTTGTGTTCAAATGAGTTAACACAGATTAATTACGTTTTCTAACAAGTAAACATATATAAATTTTCTTTTCTAATATATGAACACACAATAAACTCGCTTTACAATAAACAAACACTCAATAAGATCACTAAACATCACTAGCATTATAGGATACGAGGAAATGACTTAATGCGTCTTACCGCTTGTCTTCAACTAGCGGTACAGTCACTCATAAAAGTCCCGTCGGCTCTCATCCCAAACCACTAACCCCCGAGATTCAGACTCATGACTCCGAAGCATTTATGGACAGAATAATGTATCTGTCTACTGCTTCGGGTTCACGAGGCTCAATGACAATGATGACGGTGCTTAATGGTAAAAGTAATCATTGCTCGTAATATAGTGTCATTATAGCTCTCCATTACCCAGTATCAGAACATTGTAAAATTCCTCGTACGTAACATATGTAACCGCAAGGATTTATGTTAAAAAAATCGTAGTTAGTAGTTATATAAAATATCTAGATCATGCGAGGAAGAAAAAGAGAAATTCATGTTTTAAAACCTTACTTATCACCATGGCGACACAGGTATGCGCCCAGCCAATCAAGCGGGCAATGACTCTCTCTACCTGGCTGTCTCCCGACTTACCTGTGTTTACTAAGGTGAGTGACCTGGAGTTCTGTCTGGTCTCCTGGTTCAGTCTTTGTCCTTCCTTACTTCCTGCTACCATGCTGAGACGTCTCCCTCGGATCTCTCTCTCTCTCTCTCTCTCTCTCTCTCTCTCTCTCTCTCTCTCTCTCTCTCTCTCTCTCATTCTGACTCACTCTCTCTCTTCCTTCTCTCTCTCTCTCTCTCTCTCTCTCTCTCTGTCTCTCTGATTATTTCTCTCTCTCTGACTCTTTCTCTATCTCTTATTATCCTTCTCGCTTTCTTATTCTCTCTATTTCTCTCTCCTCCATCACTCACGAGACCTGTCCCTCTCTCTCTCTCCGCTCCTCACAAAATCTCTCTCAATCTCTTCATGTCTCACCTAATCTACCTCCGTCTCTCTCTGACCCGCTATCATTTCTACCTGGTTATCGATCTTTTTCCAGCTTGTCATCACCTAGGCGTTCCAGGTAACAGCATCCAATAAATGACAGGTGTCGTATTTAGGTCCTTGGCGGCTGTGTCACCTTTCTTTTCATCCAACACTCTCCTTTGTCTGGTGCATCTGCAAGGTTATGTAACTCTTATATTGCATAACTTGGCTTTAGAATCGCACGGTAGAGTTGAACACGTGTGATTGTACATATTGACTTATTCACTATGATATCGGCAACCTGGTTTATGATGAGTTAGTTTAATGACTAAGATAT